GTTTCCGGATCTTTTTATTTTCGCCAGCTAGATCCGCAATTACTGGCGACTCCCGTTTTTTGTCTTCTGATTGGCCGGAAGATTTCCGCCACTGTTGCGTGCCCGATACTCTGCGCGTGCGGCCTTCATTTTGTTGCAGTCGAAGATTCGGTGGCCCGGCACCCCGCAAAAATCACACGTGTAGTTGGTGTTTTTCGGACGTGGCCGCCCCTCGAATCTGTCGACTTCCATCGGGTCGGCGAACGTGGGGTGAGCCGAGCGGTCGCCATGTCGCGTACTGCCGACGTGCGTCCGTCGTGTTCCGGCGTTGACCATGTCGAAGCGCTCCGCGGCCGAAACGACATCACTGTAGTTCGCGTAGTTTGACGCTGCGACTTGTCGTTTGACTTCGGTCTTCAGCCCGGCGAGGTACGATTGTACTTTTTCCCCTTCGGTCAGGTCGGGAATGCGGTTATAAAATTCTTCCATCTGCTGCGTGTACTGTGCTACACTCCCGAACTGTCGATGGCGATGAATTTTTTCGCGGGCAAGGAAACCTGAATTTATCGGTTCGAAGCGTTTCAGCAGGTCGGCGCGGAACTGCTGCCACGTGGCTTCACCGTGGATGAAGGTGCTGTTGCCGCCAATCCACTCGAGTGCCGGCCCTCGCATTAGTGTCGCCGCGAGTCGTACGCGTTGACCGTCCCAGACTGGCGAGCTCCATCCGACGGCTGCGAAGTAGATCTCCATCCCGGCGATCCATCTGCGGGCGTCGGAGTTTCGATCGCTCGGATCGAACGGCTCAGGTGGGCGCGGTTTCGGAGCCTCGAGAAACTGCTGCGACTGCTGCGTCGTCGCCGTTGTCGTCTCGTGCTGCGCTCCGGCGAGTCGAGTTACTCGCTCGAACTGGTTTCGCCACGCTTCGCGATCCGCTCGCATTTCCTCCTGAAGGGCTGCGATGCGCGCGAAGAGCTGCAGGGTAACCTCGGCGTTGTCGAAGGTTGCCATCCTGTTCAAAACACGCACGGAGGGGGTAATTCGAAAATCGCGGAGCTGGTGCTTACCAGAATCGGCGTCGAATTAGTCGCCCCCGGCGGTTTTTCGAGGCAGGATCCCCGCTGCTGCTGCTTAGCTGAGCGCGGCCGAGTGAGAAAAGCTCTGATTACCAAGTGTCACAGGATCGAATGTGTCGAGGAAAGGTTGCACTATCGATCGGTACAAGGCGCTTTTATACTTCCAGAATACATCAGGTAACCAGGTTTATCTTATCCTAAGGGAATAGACCCTTCTAGAAGATAGAATCACCCTGCGTATAGCCACGCGAGGCTATTGGCTTTAAGAGATTATGACAGGATTACGCTAGATAGCGTGTCTAGAACATTCCATGCTTGGTCGGTGATATAATTATAATAAGGGAAGAAACCAAAGGATAATGGAAAATGGGGAATATGAGGCAAAAGGAGGTGAGATAAAAAGAGGAATGAAATGAAGATGAAATATGGAAAGGCCAAGTGGTGTAACGGAGTCGTACTCTCACAGCTTCCTCCACTCTCGTGACGTCACCTTTGACGAGTCTGTCTGCTTCTACCGCCGCTTCCCTCACTGAGGTCTCCCGGTTGCCCCCCCCTTGTTCCTTGCTCCCTCTCCCCCGGTAGCCCCTGCCCCTCTCCCTCCTCGTCCTGCCCCGTCTGGTGTCTCTCACGTCACTCCCCTCCCGTTGGTTGTCCTCGTTGAGGAGTCTGCTGACTCTGGTGGTACCCCCGGTCCGTCCTTGCTGCGTCCCCCTTCCCCGGTGCCTCCGCCCCCACTGTCGCAGTCGCCGACCCCGCTGCAGCCGCCGCCGCCGTCGCCGCCGCAGCCGTTGCCGCTGCCGCCGCAGCCGTTGCCGCTGCCGCCGCCGCCGTCGCCGCCACTGCCGCCGCCGCTCTTGGCCCCTGGGGGTGCTGGAGTTGAGGAGGGTGTTCGTCCTGTGTCTTCTGGGTGTGCTGCTGGTGTTGGAGGGGGTTCTTGCTCTGGGGGTGTTGGTTCTGGAGGTGCTGCTGTTAAGTGTTCTACCGACGGTCGTCCTGCCTCTGCCGGTCTGAGGGTTTCGGCCCAGCCGTCGCCGCCGCCGCAGCCGCCGTCGCCGCCGGTCTCCGCGCTCCGCCTGCTCGGCCTTCCCTCCCCGGACCGCGCGCTGGTGTCTCCCCCACCGCCGGCTGACCTTCCTGTCTACGGTCCTGTGTTCCCGCCGCCAGACTCGTCTCCGGCCCGTCTTCCTCCTCGTTTCCCTCCTGTGTCCCCTCCGCTGTCCCCTGACCCTACACCTCCGTCCCACGTTTGGTCTCGCCGTCCCTCCCGTGCTCGTCCCATCTCTCTTGTCCTTCCCACCCACCCTATGTTGCTCCGTTCCCGCTCGTCCCATCCTCCCCTCCTCCCGTCCCCTCCTCCCTCGTCCTTGGCTGTTGCACCTCCTCCGTTCTCTGACTACCTCCGTGCCGCTCGTCCCCTTGTCCCTCGGGTCCTTGCCTCTCTTGTTACCGACCCTGCTGTTCCTGTCTCGCGCCTTGACGCGCTTGTCGCTGCTGCCGCTGACTTTGCCTCTACCCACCGCCTTGACTACACTACCGCTCTGGTCTCTGACCCTGCCCGTCCTCTGTCCGTCGGGGGTGCTCCTGCCCTTGGCAGTGACGTCCTAGAGGACAGGCAGTACGAGCTTGCTTTCCTCTTTGAGGCTGCTCCCCATCTCTGCTCCATGCTGTTAGTCCCTGAGGGTGACCCAGACGCCTTCGACATCCCGACCCCTCGCACCTACGCTGAGGCCACCTCGGGACCTTGGGCCTCTCAGTGGATAGCTGCCATGGAGCAGGAGATGGCATCTTGGAGGTCCACCGGCACTTACGTCGACGCAGTTCCCCCGCCTGGGGTGAACGTAGTCGATGGTCGGTGGCTCTTCAAGTTGAAGCGCCCCCCTGGAGAGCCGCCTGTCTTCAAGGTGCGCTACGTGGCCAGAAGCTTCAGTCGGCGCGAGGGGGTTGACTTCTTCCAGACCTTCGCCCCGACCCCGAAGATGACCACTCTTCGGGCGCTGCTACAGGTAGCAGTATAGCGCGACAACGAGCTTCACTCCCTCGACTTCTCTACTGCCTTTCTTCAGGGCAGCCTACACGAGCAGGTCTACCTGCACCGACCACAGGGCTTCACTGGTACCTTCCCCCCTGAGACCCAGTCGCTTCTCAGGCGCCCAGTCTACGGCCTGCGTCAGGCTCCTTGCGAGTGGCACGACACGCTGCGGGCCACGTTAGCAGACCTGCAGTTCTTTCCGTCCTCTGCTGACCCCTCGCTGTTTGTGCGTTCCAGCAAGACTCCGTTCTACATCCTTGTCTACGTAGACGACCTGGTCTTTGCTACTGCTGACAGGGACGCACTGGCCTCTGTGAAGGCCGAGCTGCTGAAAAGAGACACCTGCACTGCCCTTGGAGAGCTGCGTCGCTATCTTGGCCTGCAGATCTCTAGGGACAGAGCAGCACGCACCATCACTCTCACACAGTCACACCTGGTGCGTCAGGTTCTTCAGAGGTTCGGTCTTCAGTTCTCCTCCGCACAGCCCACACCTCTACCTGTAGACCATGGGCTCTCCGCTCCTGTTCCTGAGGAGCCCGTAGAGCCCAGTGCCCCCTACGCAGAGCTGGTGGGTTGCCTCATGTACCTGATGACTTGCACTCGCCCAGATCTCGCATACCCTCTCAGCATCCTGGCTCGCTTTGTGGCTACAGGCAGACACCGACCTCAGCACTGGTCTGCCGCTAAGAGGGTTTTGCGTTATCTTGCTAGTACATCGGGCATGGGGTTAGTGCTAGGAGGACGCAGGCCAGTGGTCCTTACTGGGCACACAGACGCTTCTTGGGCGGACGACTCTGAGACGCTCAGGTCGTCGCAGGGTTACTGCTTTAGCCTTGGTTCGGGTGTTATTTCTTGGAGATCCACCCGCTCGTCGTCTGTGGCTCAGTCCAGCTGTGAGGCTGAGATCTACGCTGGTGCCATGGCGGCCAGGAGCTCCGCTGGCTGACCTTCTTGCTCACAGACTTAGGTGAGCGGCCTAGCTCTGCCCTTGTCCTGTACGCTGACAACAGGGCCATGATACTCCTGTGTCAGGAGCCTCGGCTTGAGGGCAGAGCAAAGCATATCCAGCTGCAGTACTTCCTCCTGCGCGAGCTACAGCAGCACCGCCAGGCCCGCGTAGTTCACTTGGTCTGAGGTGCCAACACAGCTGATATCTTTACTAAGGCGCTTGCGCCTAAAGATCATCAGCGGCACTGTGTACAGCTTGGTCTTGTTCCTGTAGCTACTCACCTGTTAGAATCCTGATTGTGTACTCTCTATTATATATACCTGTCAGACTAGCCTTGTGGCCTTACCTCTAGTGGCTGGACTAGTAGTGCCGCCCTGGCTTGCTGTAGTCTTGTTTGTACCCTTGCTGACTGGTCTCCAGACCCCTGCCTCAGTGGTTGGACTAGTAGTGCCACCCTGAGCTGTTTGTTTCTTGCTTTCTTCACCCCTTGTCTAGCCTTGGGGGTGTGTCAACTTATACATGTTAGTTGTGTACAAGTTATAGGCTAGACTGAGGTATGCTTTTAGTGAGTACAACCAACTAGTATTTGTTCTAGGTTTCTACCTCTAGGTTATTATTCAGTTCTTACTTTAACAGATACAAGTACAAAGTTTTATCCTCTCTAAGAGATGACCTAGCTAGGCTATAATCAACCTATCTAAACTAACTAAATATGTGTAGATAGAACTATATGTTTGTTGACAGCTTGAGCTCATGTGAGCCGGAACTCAGTTACCCTTGGTTATGATTGCTCCCGTACAACCAGGCAACCAGTGTAACCTCGTTCAATGCAAGGGTAAACGTCAATACAGTTCATCTTCCACAATATGCACGCTGCTCTGTCAGCAGCCCTTTTAAATCGCTAGCCGTACAATGTTGCTTGGAATTAATCAGCTACTCAAGTCGTACAAGGTTACGCGGTTAGTCACGGAACTGAACTCGATATTGTACACCATAAAGCTATCAGTTAGTCAATCAAGGCTCAAATATTCAAAGCTATACCGGTGGGTCGGCTATGGTAATTCACAAGTAATGGGAATTTATTCCACTGTGTTACCCACAGGTACGGGGCATCCATTTATTTGATGTCCTAAACGTCCAAGGAGAAGAGGGACCCGAACTGGGAGGGGTTGACGAAGCCATTCGCATGGCGGCCCCTATTATTGGAGTTAGATCCGTTGCACCCACCCAATGCAGCTCCAGCCTGGCCAATCCCCCCGCACGACGCCTGGTGCAGCAGCAGGTTCGTTTCCAGCGATGTGACCCGCCGCTGCAGCGCCTGCACGTACGCGACGGCGTTGTCGAGCATGGTGGCGGTGTCCCCGTGGCCGCGCACCGCCATGCGCAGCTTCTGCAGCCCCTCGCTGATGCGCTCCCGCCTCTGCCTCTCCGCCATGCTCCGCGCCTTGATGCGCCCCCCCGCCACCTGCCGGTCCTTGCGCCCGCGGCTGCGCGGCATCCAGTCGTCCATGTCGTCCGCGCCCATGTCATCATACCCCATGCCTCCGTCGTCGCACCCGTTCACATCCTCATTGTAACCATGACTGCCCATGCCCGCTGCCTGGTTACCAGCTTCGTCACCACCCCTGCTGCCAAACCTCACAGGAAATCCTAGCGGTTGCTCCGCCGAGAGATCCTCCCTCACACCGCTGAACCTCTCCATCACGTTCGGGCGCGCCGTGGGCGCAGCGGTGGGAGACACGTCAGCAGGGACAGTGAGCAGGCGGAGCGGGGTGGCAGGGGGAGGCGGGGCAGAAGCGGCGGAGGCATTGGAGGCGGGGGCGCGGAGCAGAGGCGCGCCAACACCAGCGCCAGGAGCGGCGAGGCAGACAGCAGGGAGAGAGAGAAGGGGAGGCTTGCACGCGGATTGCTGCAGCTGCTGCCGGCTCACCACCACAGGGCCGTTGCTGGTGGCGTGCGGCAGCGACAGCGGCCGGTACTGCTGGCACTCCTGCGCCTGCCCATTCCCGTTCCACCGCCCCTCAGACGCCGACCTGCTGCTGATCGCCGCCTGCTCGTTCCCCGCGCCCCCCGCGCACGCCCCCTCGTCTTCCGCCGACTTGCGCTTCCGCGAGTTAACCGCGAGCGCTGCGGCAGCGGCGGCGGCGGCGGCGGCCGCGGAGCTGTCCATGCTGCTGCTGCTGACGGCGTCCCACGACCCAGTTTGCTGCCTGTCGTTGCCCGAGAAATGCGGCGTGTGGGGCTGGGGGAACCGGGAGCCGGATCCCGCGCCGTCGTCGCGCGCATTCCGCTCCGCGGAGCACCCCCTGGCGCTCGCCCCCGCGCTGCTGCTGACGTGCTCTGTGGGGGATGGCTGCGCCTCCTGCGGCGGCGCATCTGCCACCGCTGCGATCATGGCGTCCAGGTGACCGTCGATCTGCGGCAGCTGATCCATGAAACAGCGCAGATTCGTATCCTCGCCCCCCTCCGCTCCACACCCTGCGCCATTCCCCTTCTGCTGTGCGGGCGCCGCGGCTTCCGCGCAGGAGCGCGCTAGCTGCGGCATCTGGCGCGAACCGGCGGACTTTCCGTCGGCGCTCAGCTTGGCGCGCTTCAGCTTCGGGGCTGACGTGGCGGGCTCCTCGTCCTCAGGCGCGTCCATAGTCGAGAGCGCCTTAGACAGCACCGTCAGCAGCTGCTTCTGATCCTTGGCCGACCCGCCCCCGCTCATCAGCGCCGCGGTATCACCCGCCTTGCTATTGCTCTTACTCTTGCTCTTGCCCTTACCCCCGGCGCCGCCCGCCTTTTTCTTCTTGGGCTTCTCCTTCTGCAGCAGGCGCAGCACGGCCAGCATCAGGTCCATCTGCTCGCCGCCGTCGTCGCCTTCGTCGCCGCTCTCGGAATCGTCGCTGCTCGTCTCGCCTGTGGACGCGTCCTGGTCGGCCGACGTGGCTTTGACGGCGGTGGGCTGCGCGAGGGCCGGGACTGCTGGGAGGTTGAGGAAGGAACCGACGACCGCTTCGATGTCGCCGTCAGGGGGGTCCATGTTGATGTTCGCGTGGTCCGGTGATGTCATGGAGGCCATTGCTTGGAGCTATTCTTCGCTGTTGTGTCGAGATCGCTGCGTGTCTAGCCGCTGAGTCCTTAGCTTCTTACTTTTTTGTCAAGCAGATGATTGTTGTAGAGAGCGTTTGCGAAAGCAAATTTGTTGTTTGCTTTGGTGATGGTAGATGATGATTTCGCGTCTTCAATCTCGAGAGCGAGAAACATTTGTAGGATGCGACGCGCAAATGCTCACTACCCACTCTGCATGGAGCAACGCCAGGGCTGAATTGCTCACAACTGATTGGTCGAGCTTCCCTTCCCAGCAAAATGTACTCCCTGCGATTCGAACCACCAAAGCCTGTGCCAGATTTGCCAGCGAAACCAGCTCCAATTGGGCGCAGCTGGAGGAAAAAGCACCTGAAGACTGGGCGCCACTCTGGCACTCTTGCCAGATCTGCACAAATGCACCACTGTCGCAAATCCGACCACCTGAGGAGGAAAGATACGGTTTCCCCTGCCAGGCCCCACGATGGACGGCGAGTGTGATGGGGATGTCAGGTGGGCCTAGCATCGGCCAATCATAATGCTTTGCTCTTTCGTAAAACACTTTTCGTGGCCATGATGAATGTTGCGAACCAGGAGAACGCTGGGCTGGTACGTGGTTACCAGACCCCAGCCAGAATGTGGCTTATGGGCTGGCGAAAACAGTCCTCAGTGATAGCCAGCGCTGCGGCTCGAGCCCATTGTTCGCCACCAACCGCCCACCAGCCACTGCCATGAGAGGCTGGACGCCTACTCGTGCCATACTCTAGGAGCCCAGGCTTGTGTGTGGGGGGACAGGCTGGGTGTGGGTGGGTCACCCACAAACCGCGTGTGTGCATGGTGGCGGCTCCGCGTTTGTGTCTGGGCAAACCCCTGATCATGCGAAAGGCCTGCCTGTGTGAGGGAGACGACTTTCTTTCGGAATAGAATAGAATTACACCATGTACTTTGCACCCTAAAGCGCCAACAATAAATGTCCAATAATAGTTCCCTAGAAATAATAATGCTTAACTCCTCTCAGAAGAAACCAATGCATATTCAGCTTAGCCATGCCTCGACTGGATACACGAGCATTCGAGGCAAAGAGGTGCAGGTTTGCTGTGAACAGATTTGAAGCTTAGGATTCTGCTACACCATGTGAACACGCACACATTACTCTTCTGCTGTTGAAACCAAAGCGGCTTGTGAAGCACATTTAGGAATGCCAATATTGCTGGAGGCCTCCTTGTATCACTTCTTTAAAAAAGCGCACGTACTAGCGTAACATTGTATTGTCGGCACAAATCATTAGCACTGAAGGGTTGGTCCTACCCAGTCATACCAAATGCAAGTCAGAGCCGCAAGCAGCATAGGCAAGTCTCTAGCAAACGCAGCGCCTGAAACATTCCTCCTAGCTATCCTTGGCCAGGCTTCGCAGCACATAGTGCAGAATGCCACCGTTCTCAAAGTATGTCAGCTCCACCTGCCATACAAGGGGGGAGGAGGAGGGAGGAGCGGGGAAGAGGGTTGGGAGGGGGGGGGGGAGGGGGTGGGGGGGGGGTGAGGTGGAGAGGGGTTACTAGTGTGAGTGGCACGGCATGGCAAGCAGGATTGAGGGCAGCATGTTAACGCATGGGAGGCGAGGCAATGTGATGCGAGTCAATGTGATGCGAGGCAATATGATGCGAGGCAATGTGATGCAAGGCAATGTGATGCGAGGCAATGTGATGCGATGCAATGTGATGCGAGGCAATGTGATGCGAGGCAATGTGATGCGAGGCAATGTGATGCAAGGCAATGTGATGCGAGGCAATGTGATGCGAGGCAATGTGATGCGAGGCAATGTGATGCGAGGCAATGTGATGCGAGGCAATGTGAGGCGAGGCAATGTGATGCGAGGCAATGTGATGCGAGGCAATGTGATGCGAGGCAATGTGATGCGAGGCAATGTGATGCGAGGCAATGTGAGGTGAGGCAATGTGATGCGAGGCAATGTGATGCGAGGCAATGTGATGCGAGTATACACGAAGCAGTGCTGTGCTCGAGGAATCAAGAGTTTGTGTGTACAGGGTGTGCATGGCAGTGCAGGCAGCGCATGCGCTCCTAGACTCTCACCTGGGTGTCGAATCGCAGGGTGGTTGTGAACTTCTTCCCGTTGTCAGTCGTCACTTCCACGTCCATCCCTGGCTTGATGTCCTTCAGCGCGGGCAGGTGCACCGAGAACTTTTCGTATCCGGTCAGCCCAAGCGACTCGGCGTCCTGGCCGGGCTTGAAGCAGAGGGGGATGATGCCCATGCCGACGAGGTTGCTGCGGTGGATGCGCTCAAACGACTTGGCAATCACCGCCTTCACGCCCTGCAGGTACGGCCCCTTTGCCGCCCAGTCCCGCGAACTGCCACTGCCGTACTCCGCACCCGCCAGGATGATAGTGGGTACTCCGGCTTCCTTGTAGCGCTGGAGGGAAGGAGGAGTTGGCACACAAGGGGAAGGGAAGAGGCGGGAGGGGGAGGTGGGAGAGTGGTGAGTTGAAGCAGAGCGGGATGATGCCCATGGCAACGAGGTTGCTGCGGTGGAAGCGCTCCAACGACCAGGCGATCACCGCCAGACACCCCCTGCAGGTACCTCCCCCTCCCTTGCACTCCCCATGGCCACCCCCTGCAGGTACCTCCCCCTGCCTGGCACTCACCATGGCGGCGTCGTAGATGAACATCTTCTCCCCAGAGGGCACGTGCACGGTGTGCGGCCCCACCGCCCCCTCCATGAACTTGTTCACGATGCGGATGTTGGCAAACGTGCCCCGTGCCATGACCTCGTCGTTGCCGCGCCGGCTGCCATACGAGTTCCAGTCCTTCCTGGCCACTCCTCGTTCCGTCAGGTACCGCGCTGCTGCACTGTCCTTGTGGATGCTCCCTGCAGGTACGGGGGTGGGCGAGTGAGCAGGGAGGGGAGGAGGATCGAAGGTCAGGGGGGTTTGGTCACCTCGTCGTTGCCCCGCTGGCTGCTGTGCGAGTTCCGGTCCTTCCTGGATGCGCCCCCCTGCGTCAGGTAGCACGCTGCTTAGCTGTCCTTCTGGGTGCTCCCTGCAGGTCCAGAGTGAGTGCGGGTGGGGCGCCGGCGGAGTAACTGGTATTTACTATGCCTCGAGCAGAACGTGCACACACAGGCACGCACACAAATGCACACATGCACGCACACACACCCACCCACCTGCGGGGGAGATGTGGTCGGTGGTGATGCTGTCCCCCAGGTTCAGCAGGCAGTTGGCGTCAACCACCGGCGCCACCCCTGGGGGGTCCTTGGAGATGCCCTTGAAGAAGGGCGGCTCGTGGATGTACGTCGACGCGGGGCTCCAGTCGTACAGCGCCCCCTCGGGGGCGGTCAGCCCATTCCAGAGGTCGTTGCCACGTGTGATGCTCTCATAGGTCGACCGGAAGAACTCGGGCAGCACCGACTTTTCAACCACCGCTGCCACCTCAGCGGAGGTGGGCCAGATGTCGCACAGGAAGACGGGCTTGCCGTCGCTGCCCGTGCCGATAGGCTCCGTAGTGAAGTCAATGTCCACCTGGCGTGAAGAGGACATAGAAGAAGGGGGATGAGAAGGAGGGCATAGAAACGGACAATGGTGGGCGAGGAGGATGACACAGAGCAAGAAAGGCCTTGGATCAAAGTGAGCATGGAGAGGTGAGGACTCACAGGCGCATGAACGGCCCTCGGGATTCACAGGCGCATGAACGGCCCTCGGGATTCACAGGCGCATGAACGGCCCTCGGGATTCACAGGCACATGAACGGCCCTCGGGATTCACAGGCGCATGAACGGCCCTCGGGACTCACCGTGCCGGCAAGGGCGTAGGCCACAACAAGGGGAGGAGAGGCGAGGTAGTTGGCGCGCGTCTGAGGATGCACCCGGCCCTCGAAGTTGCGGTTGCCGGACAGCACTGCTGCTGCCACCAGGTCTGGTGGGGGTAAGGTGGCAGGCGATGGAGACACGGTGGATAGATGCATGACTGCGAGTGGAAAAAAACGACGACTGGAAGACAGACAGGGTTCAGCAGATGGTATGGGGAAAGGGGGAAGGGCTGTCATTGGTTCACTCATCTCGTCTAGCAGCCCCACCCACCGTTCTCGGCAAGCGCCTGAGACGGTGACTCTGCAGTCTCATTTCAAAACGCCTCAATATGCATCAGTTTCACCCACCATTCCCCCACCACTCCACCCACCGTTTTCGGCAATGGGATGCCCCACGGACTCTGCAATGCATTCTGAGGCGCCTCACGATCCATCAGCCCCACGCACTACTCCCGACACTCCCACCCACCACTCCCACAGTCACACTCCCCAGAACCCTATAACCCTCTCTCACCGTTCTCGGCAATGGCCTGCCCCACCGACTCGGCAATCTCCCCCGAGTTGCCAATGCACGTGGTGCAGCCATAGCCCACCACGTGGAAGCCCTGCTTCTCCAGTGAAGGGAGCAGGCCACTGTGGGGACCAAGGAAAGGTCAGGGGGGAAAAAAGGGAGCAGGGGCCAGGGGTAAGAGCGCAGCAGCCATGGCGCACCCGTGGACGGGAGGGAGCAGACCTCTGTGAGGATGAAGGGAGGCAAGGGAAGGGAGAGGCGACGGCAGGAGGGGTAAGAGTGACTGGCCCTTATGGTGCACCCGTAGCTGCACCCCACCATGTGGAAGCCTGACTTCTCCAGCGAGAGGAGCAGACCGCTGTTCGGAGCAGGAAAGGCAGCACAGGGCGCGGGAAGGGGGTATTGGTAAGCATGGTGCACGTGGTGCGGCCGTACCCCACAACATGAAAGCCCTGCTTTTTCAACGAGGGGAGGGGACCACTGCAGGTGTGTGGGTGGTGGTTGACATGGGGTCAAGGGGAAAGGGGGAGAGGGAAGAAACGAGTAGAGGTGAAAGCCGAGATGCCAATGCACGTGGTGCATCCATATCCCAGCACGTGCAAGCCCTGCTTCTCCAACGAGGGGCGCAGGCCGCTGTGGGGAACAGGCGGAAGGAGAGATGAGGGAAAGCAAGGGAGCAGGAGGCGGGGGCCAGTGCCAAATTAATGGTGCCCACACCCCCTTGCCCCAACAATTTCCAGCACAGCGGGGGATAGTACAGCGTACGGCGCTCACAATGCCGACGAACCACTTAGGAAGCTAAATCTTTGAATCTGGGTGAATCAGCCCCCTTGTTCGAACAAGACTCCAGTTTCACATGGCTGTTCGATATACCGGCTCAAGTCATGGCCATGGATCCCTAACCTCTTCTCACCTACACAGTAACCACCACATGCAATTGGTGATTACACAGGTTACCACACGCACCTGGTTACCACGCTCAGCTGGTTACCACACTGGTTACCATGCGCACCTGGTTACCACACGCACCTCTTTTCAAGGTACTTGGTGACGACACCAGAGCCAGGCGCCAGGCTGGTCTTCACCCACGGCTTCACCTGGGAGATGGAGAGAGGGGGAGGGCGGGAGAAGGGGTGTGGGGGTGAGGGGATGAGGGGTGGAAGAAACGGGGAGCATGGGAGGGAGAGAGGGCGCTAGAGCCAGGCGCCAGGCTGGTCTCCACCCACAGCTTCACCTGGGTGATGGGGAGAGGGGGAGGGAGGGAGAGCCCCAGGGCGAGCGGCAGTAGGAGGCGACCCGTTAGGAGACCTACCTGAGCCGAGGCACCTTTTTGTACCAACCCGGCATGCCTAGTTTGTACCCAGGATTGCCCATCAACGACGGACCGTTCAAGGGAGGGAGGGAGGGAGAAGGTGTGCAGGGGGCGGGGGTGAGGGGTGGAAGAGACGGGGAGCATGAGAAAGAGTCGGCACAAGAGTCAGGCGCCAGACCAGTCTTCACCCTCTCCAGCGACCGCTCATCACAACCGTTCATCGCAACCGCTCATCACAACTGTTCATCGCGACCGCTCATCACAACCGTTCATCGCGACCGCTCATCACAACCGTTCATCGCGACCGCTCATCACAACCGTTCATCGCGACCGCTCATCACAACCGTTCATCGCGACCGCTCATCACAACCGTTCATCGCGACCGCTCATCACAACCGTTCATCGCGACCGCTCATCACAACCGTTCATCGCAACCGCTCATCACAACCGTTCATCGCAACCGCTCATCACAACCGTTCATTGCAACCGCTCATCACAACCGTTTATCGCAACCGCTCTGTAGCCCCACCTGCAGCCCAAGGTCTGTTGCCTTCTTGGCCACCAGAGCAGCCCCCAGCACGACTGAGGGGTTGCTGGTGTTGGTGCACGATGCGATGGCTGTTATCACCACTCCCTCAACCCCCTAATCCCTCCCCACTTGAGCCCTAGCTATACCTCCTAGCACTACTGACCTGCAGCCCAAGGTCTGTAGCTTTCTTGGCCACCAGGGCAGCCCCCAGCATGACGGACGGGTTGCTGGTTTTGGTGCACGACGTGATGGCGGCTATCCCCCCAACAAAAACCCTAACCCTTACTCCAATCTCACCTGCCATTCAAGATCCGATGCCTTCTTGGCCACCAGGGCAGCGCTGGTGTTGGTGCACGACGTGATGGCTGCTATCACCCCTCCCGTTCCCCTCCATGCGCAGTGCTCTACTCCAGTCCCCACAGCACACCACACCACCACCCATAAGCGCCTCACCTGGAGGCCTAGATCCGATGCTTTCTTGGCCACCAGAGCAGCCCCCAGCATGACGGAGGGGTTGCTGGTGTTGGTGCACGACGTGATGGCCGCTATCACCACGGACCCGTGCCTCAGCTCCGCGGGCTGCCCGTTGAAGTCGAACTTCACCACCTTGCCCTGCTGCTCCTTGGGGAGGGCGAAGCCCTGGCGAGGGGAGAGGAGGAGGGGGGGGCAAGCAGGGGAGCAGAGGAGAGAGGGAGGGGGGGGAGCACGGGAGGGGAGGATGCTCAGCTCTGCTGGCCGCCCGTTGAAGTCGAGCTTCACCACCTCGCCCTGCTGCTCCTTGGGCAGGGCGAAGCCCTGGCGAGGGGAGAGGAGGAGGGGGGGGCGAGCAGGGGAGCAGAGGAGAGAGGGAGGGGGGGGAGCACGGGAGGGGAGGATGCTCAGCTCTGCTGGCCGCCCGTTGAAGTCGAGCTTCACCACCTCGCCCTGCTGCTCCTTGGGCAGGGCGAAGCCCTGGCGAGGGGAGAGGAGGAGGGGGGGGCGAGCAGGGGAGCAGAGGAGAGAGGGAGGGGGGGGAGCACTGGAGGGGAGGATGCTCAGCTCTGCTGGCCGCCCGTTGAAGTCGAGCTTCACCACCTTGCCCTGCTGCTCCTTGGGCAGGGCGAAGCCCTGGCGAGGGGAGAGGAGGCGAGGGGGAAGAGAGGGACAAGGGGGAGGCTTGGAGGGACGGGAGGGACGATGCAACCGAGAGGACAAAGAGCGCAGGGCAGGGGAAGGGGGACGAAGGTAGGCGAGAGAGAGAGAGAGGGAAGCGGGGGAGGGAGCAAGTGAGATGGAGCGGGGAGGGCAGGTGACAAGTTGGCGCATGTGAATCGAATCATGTGGCAAAGGGTGCAAGGCGGCTAAGGGTGCAAGGTAGCAAAGGTTGCAAGGTGGCAAAGGGTGCAAGGTGGCTAAGGGTGCAACGTGGCAAAGGGTGCAAGGTGGCAAAGGGTGCAAGTGCGGACCTTGAAGCCCACGGGGTTGTCGAGGCATGCGTGCCAGTCCTCCTTCATGGTGCGCAGAGGCACGCGGTCATGGGGCCTGCAGGGGAGGGAGAGGAGGGGGGGCCAGGGTCAAGCGAGAGTGAACGGGGCTGTCCAGGCAAGACCCGCCATGCGGGTTGTCGAGGCATGCCTGCCAGTCTTCCTGCATGGCGCACAGAGGCACGCGGTCCTGCGGCCTGCAGGGGAGGGAGAGGGTGTGAGGAGAGGGGGAGAGGGTGTGAGGAGAGGGGGAGAGGGTGGGGGTGGGGGGAAATTGTCGTTATGCAAGGCAGAAGAACATCCTTCATGGTGCATACAGGGCCATGCGACACACAGTCAGTAATGAGGCTTGCAGTGAACGCATAGAGCGGGGGGGGGGGAGAGGGGGGGGAGAGAAACGAATCAAATAGAAACGCCTTGCTTCATAGAACAGAAGGGCACATGATTGCAGGGCCAATCATGAACCTAAGATACATGGGCTTCTAATAACCCCCGGAACCTCGAAACCTGAAACCCCAAAACCATGAACCCTGAACCCCTGAGGCTGGGAGTCGGAGGGGTCTCACCTCTTGGGCCCGGAGATGCAGGGCTCCACGGAGGAGAGGTCCAGGTCCAGGGTGGACGAGTAGGTGCGCTCCGCCTGGGGCTGCATGGGGGTGCATGGGGCGATGATGGGTGATGATGGGTTATGATGGGTTATGATGGGTTATGATGGGTGATGATGGGTTATGATGGAGTAATGATGCAGTGATGGGAGGAAGGAACGGAACCAAGGCCGATGAGAATGCAGAGCCAGGAAGGATATGCAAAGAGGGCAGGGGGGCGGCGGGGGCGGCTGGGGGGATGTTATGGGGGAGAGAGAGGAGAAGTTGCAGGGACATGCGGGAATAACGCAAGGGCGATGGGACGCAGAACGGTGCACTGGATGAGGTGTGTGGGAAGGTAACGGGAGGTGATGTGCGGTGTTGTGAGATGCTAGGTGCGATATCCGGCATCTCGTTGCAACATGCTACCTCATTGTAGTCAACGAACATCTTGTTGGCCCGGAGAGAGGCCTCCACCATCTTCACCTGCAGGAGAAAGAGAACCCCAGCGGGGTTCCGTTGTGGGGTTGCTATCGAATTGTAACAGCGCATTGTGTAGCAGCTCACCTCATTGTAGTCAACGAACATCTTGTTGGCCCTGAGGTACGCCTCCACCATCTTCACCTGCAGGGGTGAGCAGCGCACGGATGACACACACACCATGCACAGCATGCACACCGCACAGCACCGCCACACATGAACGCACACGAGAGCCAACACAAATGCCACGCAATCCAAACGTTTAGTCAGCCGGCTTTTCCTCACGAGTGCTCGATGAGCGCGACCCGAGAGGCTCCACCGTTATGAAAGCCCGCTTGTTCCTCATGCTACAGCCGTTCACCAACTCTTACCAATTTGGCCACCATTCGCCACACCAGACTCAAACTGTTCTTTGAGTCAACCCCATTAACGACTCATCCTACTCCCATCCGCTGCCCTCTGCTCATCCTTCCACAGCACCACTCATCGAGCTCTAGTCGCGCCCAGACGTCTTCGGATACGCCAGCGTGGCATCATGCACGGGGAAGAGCCCCATGGTCGCGCCGTACTCAATTGTTCAATGAGACAACTCCACTATAAAATCACCGTGCTCTCGTCACGCCCAGACGCCACGCGTAACATCATCCACGGGGACGCACCCCATGGTCTCGCCACCTTCATTTCAGTCATCCCTCCACTCCTTACCATCACCCACCGCGAAATCTCGAATCATTATGTGCCCCCGCATCAACTCGCCGTGCTCTCATCACGCCCCGAGGTCTTCAGATACGCCAGCGTGGCGCCATCCACGGGGAAGAACCCCATGGTCGCGCCGTCCTCGGGCGATTTTCCAGTTGACTAGACAAACAGCCCCTCTAGTCAACTCACCGTGCTCTCATCGCGCCCAGAGGTCTTGAGATACGCCAAGGTGGCATCATCCACGGGGAAGAACCCCATGGTCGCGCCGTACTCGGGCGCCATGTTGGCGATGGTCGCCCTGTCAGCGAGAGCCAGGTGGCGCATGCCGTCGCCGTGGAACTCCACGAACTTGCCCACCACACCGTGCTGACGCAGCATGGCCGTACACGTCAGCACGAGGTCAGTCGCTGTCACGCCTGGCTGGAGCTTGCCGGTCAGCTTAAAGCCCACCACCTCGGGCAGCACCATACTCATGGGCTGGCGGCAGGGGCGGGATGGTGAAGGGGGAAAGGGGGCGTGGAGGGGTGAGGGACGGAGAGAGTGAGCCTCATGGCTTATGCTCATGGGCGGTAGGAGGGGTGGGGGGTTGGGGTGGTGGGAGAAAATGGGGGCGTTAGGTGTAACGGAATGACTTGGAAAGGGGGAGAATGGGGATGCTAAAACAATGTCACCATGTCTCTGGTTCAACGCGCCTTTGAGTCACTCTCAAGCGCACCTGGCCCAGCATGGTGGCCTCGGCCTCGATGCCTCCCAATCCCATGCCACCATACCCCTCTGGCCCAACGCACCTGGCCTAGCATGGTGGCTTCGGCCTCGATGCCTCCCACGCCCCATCCCGCCACGCCCAGCCCGTCGATCATGGTGGTGTGCGAGTCCGTGCCCACCAGACTGTCCGGGTAAAGGAGCCCCTTGTGGGAAAACACCACACGCGCCAGGTACTCCAAGTTGACCTGAAATAACGACACACAGAACGGCGAAAGAGGGGGGATGGGCAATGATTGAGTGAATGTCGTTCATGGTGGTGTGCGCGTCCGTTCCCACCAGGCTGTCTTGTGGGCAAACACAAAACAGACGAAGTATCCACCCCGGCACCGCACCCGGCCCCCCTCACCCCGTGCACCGTATTTGACCCCTCCTCACCTGGTGCACGATGCCGGAGCCAGGAGGCACCACGCGCATGTTCTGGAACGCCTTGGCGCCCCACTTGAGGAACGCGAATCGCTCGCTGTTGCGGTCGAACTCGAACTGCATGTTCTGCTCCACCGCGTTGGCGGACCCCGCCACGTCCACCTGCACCGAGTGGTCGATCACCAGATCCACCGGCACCTGCGGGTTGATCGCGTTGGGATCGCCGCCCAGCGACTTCATGGCGTCACGCATGGCCGCCAGATCCACCACCGCGGGCACGCCCGTGAAATCCTGAAGGAGAGAGAGAAAGAGGCGAGCAGAAGAGAGCTTCGGAAATCTATGCAAAAGGATCCACTGCCAAGGGCACGATCGTGAAGCCCTCAAGACAAAAGCCAGATGGAGCAAAGCAGTAACATTCGACGAGTTCCCGCTTGGTAATTTAGGAATGCACGCAACCAGCTTAACCCTGCTCACGACCTCCGCACCTGCAGCAGCACGCGCGCGGGCTTGAAGGGAATCTCGACTTGCTGCGGCGCGGTCTTCTCCCAGTCGAGGATCTTCTCCACGTCAGCCGGCAACACCTGGAAGTTGTCGCAGTTGCGCAGCGCGGATTCGAGCAAGATGCGGATGGAGTACGGCAGGCGATCTAGGGGGGGGGGGGTGGGTGGGTGGGCGTGGGGGTGGGTGTACAGGGGATGGCGACACAGGGCGGTGGCAGTGAGAATGGCAGTTCTTTCCCAGTCGAGCAGCACCTGGAAGCTGTTGCAGTTGCGCAGCGCCGACTTCAGCGGCATGCGGATGGAGTGCGGCAGGCGATCTCGCGAGGCCATGCAGAGTGGTGCTAGTAAACATCGCGAATCATACGGAATGCTTCGGATGCAGTACGGCAGGCGATCTACCGTAGCAGTGCCAGGCAGTGAAATAGCGGCTTTATCCAAAACGCTTCGGAGCCCCAAGCGAGCAGGCGAAGCCAATGCAGGGTGGTGATAGTAAAAGTAGCGGCAACATGCGGAGTACTCTGAATGGAGTACGGCAGGCGATTTGGCGTAACAGTGCCAGTCGGTAACAGTGAAAAGAAGCAGCTTTATTCGGAATACGTCCTATTCCGACAACACGCGCAACAGCGCATAAAGGAAGTAAACGAGATAGCTCTAGCCGGGAGCAGGACTCAAATTCCTGGAGATCTGAGCCAGTGATCCGGAAGGCTGTCTTCGAAGCTTCTAAAATAACTGAACCTTCTAGAATAACTGAAACGCTTACCAACTCGGGGGTCGTTGAGTGCGGGAAGGCTGTAGTACTTCCCGTACGATCCGCCATCCGACGACGGGAGGTCCGTCAGGATGTTCTTGAACGGATTCTCCGATGCTGCACAGGCCCAAAGAACAAGTGTGACAGCGAAAGATCACGGGAAACTGGTCAGAGCGCCAACATACACTCTGGCGCAAGACTAATGACTAGAGCAGCGAAGGAAAAATGAAATTAACCTTGGGTTATCAGCGAGTTAAAGCGGCCTGATCGACACGGGGCCCGTCAAAGGAAACTCTAGAGCGGGCGTCACCTGAGCTGGAGGCCTTTCGAGTGAGGATGTAGGCCGAAGGAACGGGTCGTGCGAGCAACCGCTGCGACACGTTAGCGCAGCCAATCGTCGCAGACGACGACATGCGACGCCACAGAGACGCCTGACCATGCCCAGTCACCCACGCACTCCCCAGATTTTGCGAGATTTGCGGACGATCGCTGGCGATCGACGACGATCTGTGAGAAACCGTCGCCGACGCCGCTACGGGCGCTACAGCCGCTGCTCCGGTTGTAGCGCCGGACATGGCGCTCTGAAGGCCTGGCGCTACAGTCGACATCAAACGGACAACCCTAGACGCCCTCATCGCGTCGTCAGCACGAAAAGGGAAACCTGAAATTCCTGATGCGCAGGAAAAGCAGGTCGCACGAGAAGGTTGGATTCCCGAGTGGATCAGGGAAGTGCTCGAGAGAGCACAGGTGGGAGTAGGAGCCTGCACTAGCATCAAGCTAAGGAGTTAAGATGAAAGGGAGGAACTTGTAGAAAGAGGAGCAGCAGTCAGTGTAAAGCGACAGGGGGAAGAAAGAAGGCTGTGAATCAGCGGAGGGGGGATAGGATGTGGGAAAGTGGGGAAGGGGCGGGGAAGGGAAGAGACTGGAGCGGGGGAAATGATTCTGTTTTGGCGCAGAGGTCTCTGCCTGCAGCACTGCGAGTTTGCAGCAGAGGAGTGCGGAGCGGAGCACCAGTGCGGAGTGGTTGTGCAGCGGAGAAAATCGAGGGATGAAATGTGGCGCAGCCAAAAGGGAGGAGGAGTGTGCGATTGGGCAGATGGCTCCATAACTCAGGGAACGGAGTGACCGATTGGCTAAAAATGACGTGGATCACAACGCCTGCCACGCTGAAAGAGCAGGGACTGGAGGCTGAGAACAGGATCATCTCAATGCGCTGCTTGCCGTTGGATGATATCACGTGGTCAGGGAGTCAAGGAGATCTCCACGACAGTCTCCATGCAAAGAAGCTTCCTTCTCAAATCAGAAGCTACACTTCACACATGCCTTTTACATTATGTAACTTATGAAGGGCTAATGTTAATGATAGAGAACGTCAACCTGTTTACATGCGTTATAAAATTATTTAGTTTATATATTGGGAGGGTTGTACTTGAAGGGACACTATCAACTTGAAGAATTTAATTCAACGCTAATCAAATTATACGAAGCTGATTAGATTGATGTACTTATTGCTGAGTTCGCCTCAAACTTGTGAGGGAGCTTGTGGCGGACTTCACAATTGACCGTTGCCCCCAGCACCTGCACAACGCCAGGTTTTCTGCTATTGGCCTGTTCAATTACGGTTTGGCGCCATCGTCCAAGCAGGCTATTGGCTGAAAGGATTTCAAATAAACGGTGGCTTTGTCCTTAGCTAGGTCTCCGCCTATTGGCTAAGATGGCATCTTCCCTCGGGCTTGACGTTAGCGGTGACTCCTTGGTTTTGAAATTTGCTCGCGGGATTTTCGTGGGCCACCGCCTAGTTTGAGCGGCGCCGGTTCTGTCCATACACGTGTCCTACAAGCTTCTCATCTCGTGATTCCGTCCAACCACGTGTCACGCATATCCGAGCTGTCGAAAACTAGTCCATCCACATAACGCAGTCTCCTGGGCTGTCGTGATTAGTCCAGCCACGTGTCTGTCAAGAAGACCGTCCATTTTCGAATCCGTCTACGTTACCGTCAGCCTGATTCCCATTCCCGTCGCCCGAACCCTGTTTGCCTCGCCTGGAGCCCATCCTCGTCGCCCAACTCTCGTTTCTTGGTCGCCTGATGCCGCTTTTCCCCTCCCCTGGGCGATTTTCTCCCTCCCCCGTGCAATTTCACGCAGTTCGCCTCAGTTCGAGTCATTTTCAGCCCACTCTTTCCGTCAACTTCGTCGCCGATCCGCGTGCGACTCATTCTTCGCCTAGGCACGCATTTCCCTCCCAAGGAAGGCGTTTCGTCGCCAGATTTGCTGGTTTGCTGCGCTAAGGAAGACATTTCGTCGCACGCTGATATGGTTTTCCGCGTCAATTTGGCCACGCCGAGTTTGGATCAGCTCGAAACCGCATGGTAAGATTTATTTTCCACCACTTCGCTAATTTCTAGCCGTTAAACCATAACGATTTAGCACGTGCTAAGTTCATGTTTTTTCTGTTGCAGGAGTTCCGTGGCAACCACTTGAAACGCGTTCGTGAGCATCTATCAGCACTCCACCTGCAGATCCTCTTGCACCACCGCCATGCTTAGGTAATTTCGTCGATTTGCTTTAATTTCTTTGGAGTATTCCGCACGTTAGACTATTCATGCCGAATTCCCTGACGAATTCACGTTTTCTCCGTGCAGGCACGTTCAAATCTGCAACTAAGCACGCTCGGCCCAGAGAACAGATCATGGCGAGTCCTTGGCAGTGCCTCTTCATCGTCACACCAAGGTAACTAGAACGTCGCTGTGTTTCTGCCATTCGTTCTCTCAGAAATCCCACGATTTGCCACTACTGAATCCGCGTTTATTTGCAGGCTCGTTAATAATCTGCTTCTGCAAATCGCGTTCGCCTCCTGAAGAGCCCCCAGTGGCGTGTGATGGCGTCACGGCAAGCCTGCAGCGCTGCCAAGTCAGGAGCACCACCAGCACGCCCCCGAGATCGCCATCCCTTTCAGCTAAGTCACTTTTTTCCTCGCCCTTAAACGCCCTCCGCTTCACCTCACCCCCACACTGCCGAACCTCTCTGTTTTGCACCCCACCATCCCACCCCCACTCTCCACCCACCTCTACGTCCACTACCGAGCCTCTCCGTGCATCCCCAGTTCCCCAACTCCCTTCCCACCTGTCCACCCGCTCCATTCCCATCTGTCCACCCTCCACCACCCGTCGCCGCCCCATGGCATACGGTGTGAGCAGCACGCATAGGGTCCAGTCCAGGTCACGGGTTACGCTACTCTAGGGTCCTGTCTGTCTGTTTGCGAGCTGTGCTGCTGCTGTCCCCCGCACCCCCCCGTCCGCTTGCTGCTGTATAGTTCGCGCTCGTGTGTCATGGGGTATCCTCCTCCTCACCCTTCCCCACTCCCTAACCCCATCCCAACTCCATCTCAACCCCACCCCTCCCCACCCGTCCCCCATTCCCCCTCACCCTCTCTCTCTCGCTCAATGCCACGCCTCTCACACCTATTTAATCTGTGACTTTTCGCTCTCTTTGCTTTCATGGATTTGACTCATTCTCAGTCCTTCCCATTCTGGCGGGGTTCCTCCCGCCATGCACTCACCGCCTTCTCTCCGTCCTCTTCTCCTCCCCCCCCCTCAGGCTTGCCTCTGACGTCCCGCGCGGATTGGCGGCAGCACCAGCTGCAGAAGAGGCAGCAGCTGTAGGGGAAGCAGCAGCCTGGCGGCAACAGCAGCGGCACTCCAAATCAATAAGTTCCCCATGCCTCTCCCGCACTCATTTCATCCTCGTGCTGCCCCCCCCCCCTCCCCCCCCCATGCACTCTCACCCTCCCACCCGCTCCCTTCCCACGTCCTCACCCTCCACCTCCCCTCGCCCTCCTCCCCCCTCTCAACCCCATGGCGCACAGCGTGAGCAGCGCGCATAGGGTCCAGTTCAGGTCATGGGTTAGGCTACTCTAGGGTCCTGTCCGCATGCTTGCACGCTGCTCCCCTCCCCCCCCTCCCCCCCACCCCCCCCCTAGTCCGCTTGCTGCTGCCGAGCTCGCGTTCGTGTGCCATGGGGTGTCCTCCCCCCACCCATCCCCCCTTCCCCACATCCCTCGTCACTCCATCCGCATGCCGTCCACCCACATGTCTTCTTGTCGTCTGCAGTGCTCCTGCATTTGAATCGTCTCAAAAGTTTCCATTTTTCAGCCTTTTCATGCCTTTCCTGCCCTGCTTTACTTCTCCTCCCCTCCTGTCTTCCTCACCACCCCTCCCCTCATTCCCCCTGCCCGCCACCCACCAGATGCATCTACGCCTGCCGTGGCCTGCCTTTCCCACACACACACCCTCGCGCCCGCCATGCTGCGCCCGGCAGCAAGGAGAGGCAAGGGAGTGTTGGGAGTGGGGTATCGGCACCTCTGACCCATGCAGCTAAGTATCCAGCCAGCCCTTGCTTGCTGCATCCATTCGTTTCCTGCTGTGCCATGCCTTGCTGCACTTGCTTGCTTGCTCGCCTTCCTTACAAAAATCGCCACTCGTTGCACCTTAGCTCCTGGGGCACAGACCAGCAACTGCAGGTACCCACCCCCCCCCCCATCCCCAGGTGCCCCCCTCCATCTAGCCATAGAGCCTAGACAAATGATACTAAAGCCCCCTCACTGCCTCTGGTCTGTGCCCTGGGGTCGGAGCTGCAGCAGTGGCCCTTACCCGCGCTCTCTCCCATCCTTGCCTCACTTGTTTGTCGATTCCATGCCCTGGCGCCAGCTCCTCCTTCCCCCTCACTTGCTCCTCCTTCGCCCTCGCTTTCCTTCCCCCCACCTCCACCGCGCTGCAGGGCCCCTCCCCCCAGGCTCTCTGGCAGGAGGGTGAATGGACGCTGCTGTGACCAGGGGAGGGGATGCCTGACGAGGGGAGGGGATGCCTGACGAGGGGAGGGGATGCCTGACGAGGGGAGGGGATGCCTGACGAGGGGAGGGGATGCCTGACGAGGGGAGGGGATGCCTGACGAGGGGAGGGGATGCCTGACGAGGGGAGGGGATGCCTGACGAGGGGAGGGGATGCCTGACGAGGGAAGGGGATGCCTGACGAGGGGAGAGGATGCCTGACGATGGGAGGGGATGCCTGACAACCACTCTCGGCGCTGCGTCAGTTGTTGGCCTCTAGCTAAGTATCCACATCTTGTTCTCTTCACTGTTTTTATTTGTGTTTCGTTTTGGTCCCTTGCCCTTCTATGCTTGCTTGATCAAAATTTCGCCACTGGTTGGGATACCGCTCACAAGCCACAGACCCCCCCCCTTACTGCAGGTAAACCCCCCAGGTTAAGCCTCCCTTACAGGCCCCCCCAGGTTCACCCCTCTCTACTGCAGGTTCAAACCCCTCAGGTTCCCTTGGGGGTCTGTGGCTTGTGTGCGTGATTTAACCAGTGGCCCCTTCCCTTCTCTTGCCTGGCTGTTTTATCAATTTCGAGTTCACCCGTCATCCCCCACTGCACATTGACTAACGCTGTTTGTGTTCTTTTCAGGCGGAGGGGAGCGGAGAGGAGTGAAGGGAGGGAGTAGGGAGGGGAGGGGAAGGGAGGGGAGGGAATGGAAGGCAACTACTAGCAACGTTTCTTCAGTTTTCAGCTAAGTATTCATTCCCCTCTACTGAGCCTTGCATGCTGCTCCTTTGTTGCATTCGTTTGGTCCCCTATCCTTTGTTGATTTCTCTATCAACACGTTGCCACTTGTTGGGGCCGCGCTCACAAACCACAGACCCCTCCCCCCTTACTGCAGGTAAACCCCCCTTGCTACTTACTGCTGTGACTGCAGGGGGAGGGGAGGGGAGGGGCGTGGAGGGGGTGGTGTGAAGCGCTTGAGTGGCGCTTGAGTGGAAGGAGGGCTAGAGGTGGCAGCTGGGAGCACTCATGCAGCCACAGCAGATAAGTAGACTCACATGCTCCCCCTCTCGCACATGCTCCCCCTCACTCACATGCTCCCCCTCACTCACATGCTCCCCCTCACTCACATGCTCCCCCTCACTCACATGCTCCCCCTCACTCACATGCTCCCCCTCTCGCACATGCTCCCCCTCACTCACATGCTCCCCCTCTCGCACATGCTCCCCCGCACTCACACGCTCCCCCTCACTCACATGCTCCCCCTCTCGCACATCCTCCCCCTCTCGCACATGCTCCCCCTCACTCACATGCTCCCCCTCTCGCACATGCTCCCCCTCACTCACATGCTCCCCCTCTCGCACATGCTCCCCCTCACTCACATGCTCCCCCTCTCGCACATGCTCCCCCTCACTCACATGCTTTTGACTGCTTTCAATCGCTTCCTTTGACCTGCTTTCGCACCTCATCATTCCATCCACGCTGCATGCATCCTCTTCTAATAACGAACCACTTGCAGCAGCCTTGCCCACACGGTGCGGACCTCCCTATTCAGGTACCCCCCACCCCCCCAAAAAGCTAAAGCCTTCCCCTACACTCTTAAGACTTACTATTAAATAACCCCCTACTTGAAACATATTACCCCCTTTGGTCTGCACCATGCGCCAAGGGCTGCTCCAGTGGTCCCTCTCCATTGCTCCAGTGGTCCCCCTCTGCTGCTATCACCCACCACCCCAACCCTGCATATCTCCCATGCTTCTATCCCTAGCTTCTGACTAACTTCCTTACACTTTTCCACTTGCAGGTCGAGGGGAGGGGTGCGGAGTCAACACCACCACTCTCCCCGCCCCTCCCCTGTGGCTGTGCAGGTACTTGCACACGGGAAGCTGGGAGGAGTGCCGCCATGAGGGAGAGTACTCTGGATGGGGTTGGCGGCCTTCCAATGTAAGCCCTTCTCTCAGTGACTTCCCTGTTCTGGCTTCCAATGCATATTTCTGGCTTTCTGTCTTTTTGTAAGTCTTAGGTTCTGCCTTGTTGTAAGCCTTGCGCTAACTTGTGTTCCGTCTGTCTTCCCCTGCCCCTACCACCAGGTCACTTGGCATCTTCTGAAGATTGCAGCAGAGGAAGCTGAGCAGCTGACACCAGCAGCAGCAGCAGCAGTTGGGCTGGGCGGTTAGAGGGCAGGCTAGGACTAGGTGTGAGAGAGAGGGAGGTACGGTTTTAGGGTTTAGGGTTTACCTTCCCACCAGCTGTATTTGCCTATGCCTGCTCCACCTGCCTAGCTTGTACCCAGGATTCCCCAGCAACAAAGGACCATTCGAGGGAGGTATGGTAAGAGGTGAGGTATGGTCGTCTCACCTCTCTGTGTCGGCCCTTCCTTCCGGCAGCATGTGGATTAAAAGCCTTGGAGCAAGGGAAGGGCAGGAGAATCGAGCAAGGGCAGGAGAATGGAGACCACTCTCTCACTCACCTCCTCTCCTCTCTTTTTTTCCCCCAGAAGCATCACGCTGTGAGAGGAGTGCAGTCCCCCCCCTCACCCCCCTCACCTCTCCTTAGCAGGTTGCTGCATCATGGTGCTCCATTCGGCTATGGTAGGTGGAGGTAAGGGGGTGTGGAGGTACGTGGGGAGGAGGGGAAGTGGGCAGGGGGAGGGGTGGGGAAGGGCATAGGAGCAAGCATGCAGCTCACTCTCTCAGGGGCGGCACCCTCTGTGGTTCCTGCCTTGTTGGTTGGGTGTGGTCAGTGGAAAGTGTGTGGCACGGCAGTCGTTCCTCAAGTTCCAACACTGGCGTATCGTATAATGGAACCGGCCAGAGCCGTGCGCGCCGGCTCTGGTTGGGAGTCCCCTCCTACGACGCTTTCGTACACGGGATTTGAGTCTTGGGCCGCCCGTGCACTTTCCACTGCCACTCCTCGCCCTCAAGGCAGAGCCATGGGGGGTGCTGTTTCCCAAGGGGAGTGGCTTGCATGCTGCTCCTGGTGCTGGCTGGGGGGAGGGGGAAGGCGGGGTTAGGGGGAAGTGGGGGTGGGAGATACGTTGGGATGTTGGTGGTGGTGGTACAAGGGGCCTGAAACTCCTTGGGTGAGCTGCTTGAGGGGCAGAGGCGGGCGTCTGCAAACACCAAGGTAAGTTGAGGAGAGTGAGAGGAAGTAGGGGCTGAACCCCCTAGGTAAGTTGGAGTAACCGGCGACGGATGTGGGCTGCAACCACCAGGGTAAGGTGAGTAAGAGGGAAATATGGAAGGGGCCTGAATGCCCCTGAGTCAGGTGAGTGAGAGGGAGTAAGCAGGGGGCCTGAAACCCCCTGAGTCAGGTGGGTGAGAGGGAGAAAGCAGGGGGCTTGAAACCCCCTGAGTCAGGTGGGTGAGAGGGAGTAAGCAGGGGGCCTGAAACCCCCTGAGTCAGGTGAGTGAGAGGGAGAAAGCAGGGGGCCTGAAACCCCCTCAGTCAGTTGAGTGAGAGGGAGTAAGCAGGGGGCTTGAAACCCCCTGAGTCAGGTGAGTGAGAGGGAGAAAGCAGGGGGCCTGAATCAGGTGGGTGAGAGGGAGTAAGCAGGGGGCCTGAAACCCCCTGAGTCAGGTGAGTGAGAGGGAGTAAGCAGGGGGCCTGAATCAGGTGGGTGAGAGGGAGTAAGCAGGGGGCCTGAAACCCCCTGAGTCAGGTGAGTGAGAGGGAGAAAGCAGGGGGCCTGAAACCCCCTGAGTCAGGTGAGTGAGAGGGAGAAAGCAGGGGGCCTGAAACCCCCTGAGTCAGGTGAGTGAGAGGGAGAAAGCAGGGGGCCTGAATCAGGTGGGTGAGAGGGAGTAAGCAGGGGGCCTGAAACCCCCTGAGTCAGGTGAGTGAGAGGGAGTAAGCAGGGGGCCTGCAACCCCCTGAGTCAGGTGAGTGAGAGGGAGTAAGCAGGGGGCTTGAAACCCCCTGAGTCAGGTGAGTGAGAGGGAGTAAGCAGGGGGCTTGAAACCCCCTGAATCAGGAGGGTGAGAGGGAGAAAGCAGGGGGCCTGAAACCCCCTCAGTCAGGTGAGTGAGAGGGAGTAAGCAGGGGGCCTGAAACCCCCTGAGTCAGGTGGGTGAGAGGGAGTAAGCAGGGGGCCTGAAACCCCTTGAGTCAGGTGAGTGAGAGGGAAAAAGCAGGGGGCCTGAAACCCCCTGAGTCAGGTGGGTGAGAGGGAGTATGCAGGGGGCCTGAAACCCCCTGAATCAGGTGGGTGAGAGGGAGTAAGCAGGGGGCCTGAAACCCCCTGAGTCAGGTGAGTGAGAGGGAGAAAGCAGGGGGCCTGAAACCCCCTCAGTCAGGTGAGTGAGAGGGAGAAAGCAGGGGGCTTGAAACCCCCTGAGTCAGGTGAGTGAGAGGGAGTAAGCAGGGGGCCTGAAACCCCCTGAGTCAGGTGAGTGAGAGGGAGAAAGCAGGGGGCCTGAATCAGGTGGGTTAGAGGGAGTAAGCAGGGGGCCTGAAACCCCCTGAGTCAGGTGAGTGAGAGGGAGAAAGCAGGGGGCCTGAATCAGGTGGGTTAGAGGGAGTAAGCAGGGGGCCTGAAACCCCCTGAGTCAGGTGAGTGAGAGGGAGTAAGCAGGGGGCCTGAAACCCCCTGAGTCAGGTGAGTGAGAGGGAGAAAGCAGGGGGCCTGAATCAGGTGGGTTAGAGGGAGTAAGCAGGGGGCCTGAAACCCCCTGAGTCAGGTGAGTGAGAGGGAGTAAGCAGGGGGCCTGAAACCCCCTGAGTCAGGTGAGTGAGAGGGAGAAAGCAGGGGGCCTGAAACCCCCTCAGTCAGGTGAGTGAGAGGGAGTAAGCAGGGGGCTTGAAACCCCCTGAGTCAGGTGGGTGAGAGGGAGTAAGGCGGGGGTCTGAAACCCCCTGAGTCAGGTGAGTGAGAGGGAGTAAGCAGGGGGCTTGAAACCCCCTGAGTCAGGTGGGTGAGAGGGAGAAAGCAGGGGGCCTGAAACCCCCTGAGTCAGGTGAGTGAGAGGGAGAAAGCAGGGGGCCTGAAACCCCCTGAGTCAGGTGAGTGAGAGGGAGTAAGCAGGGGGCCTGAAACCCCCTGAGTCAGGTGAGTGAGAGGGAGAAAGCAGGGGGCCTGAATCAGGTGGGTGAGAGGGAGTAAGCAGGGGGCCTGAAACCCCCTGAGTCAGGTGAGTGAGAGGGAGAAAGCAGGGGGCCTGAAACCCCCTCAGTCAGGTGAGTGAGAGGGAGAAAGCAGGGGGCCTGAAACCCCCTGAGTCAGGTGAGTGAGAGGGAGTAAGCAGGGGGCCTGAAACCCCCTGAGTCAGGTGAGTGAGAGGGAGAAAGCAGGGGGCCTGAATCAGGTGGGTGAGAGGGAGTAAGCAGGGGGCCTGAAACCCCCTGAGTCAGGTGAGTGAGAGGGAGAAAGCAGGGGGCCTGAAACCCCCTCAGTCAGGTGAGTGAGAGGGAGAAAGCAGGGGGCCTGAAACCCCCTGAGTCAGGTGAGTGAGAGGGAGTAAGCAGGGGGCCTGAAACCCCCTGAGTCAGGTGAGTGAGAGGGAGAAAGCAGGGGGCCTGAATCAGGTGGGTGAGAGGGAGTAAGCAGGGGGCCTGAAACCCCCTGAGTCAGGTGAGTGAGAGGGAGAAAGCAGGGGGCCTGAAACCCCCTCAGTCAGGTGAGTGAGAGGGAGAAAGCAGGGGGCCTGAAACCCCCTGAGTCAGGTGAGTGAGAGGGAGTAAGCAGGGGGCCTGCAACCCCCTGAGTCAGGTGAGTGAGAGGGAGAAAGCAGGGGGCCTGAATCAGGTGGGTGAGAGGGAGTAAGCAGGGGGCCTGAAACCCCCTGAGTCAGGTGAGTGAGAGGGAGTAAGCAGGGGGCCTGCAACCCCCTGAGTTAGGTGAGTGAGAGGGAGTAAGCAGGGGGCTTGAAACCCCCTGAATCAGGAGGGTGAGAGGGAGAAAGCAGGGGGCCTGAAACCCCCTGAGTCAGGTGAGTGAGAGGGAGTAAGCAGGGGGCCTGAAACCCCCTGAGTCAGGTGGGTGAGAGGGAGTAAGCAGGGGGCCTGAAACCCCTTGAGTCAGGTGAGTGAGAGGGAAAAAGCAGGGGGCCTGAAACCCCCTGAGTCAGGTGGGTGAGAGGGAGTATGCAGGGGGCCTGAAACCCCCTGAATCAGGTGGGTGAGAGGGAGTAAGCAGGGGGCCTGAAACCCCCTGAGTCAGGTGGGTGAGAGGGAGTAAGCAGGGGGCCTGAAACCCCCTGAGTCAGGTGACTGAGAGGGAGAAAGCAAGGGGGCCTGAAACCCCCTCAATCAGGTGAGTGAGAGGGAGTAAGCAGGGGGCTTGAAACCCCCTGAATCAGGAGGGTGAGAGGGAGTAAGCAGGGGGCCTGAAACCCCCTGAGTCAGGTGAGTGAGAGGGAGTAAGCAGGGGGCCTGAAACCCCCTGAGTCAGGTGGGTGAGAGGGAGTAAGCAGGGGGCCTGAAACCCCCTGAGTCAGGTGAGTGAGAGGGAGAAAGCAAGGGGGCCTGAAACCCCCTGAATCAGGTGAGTGAGAGGGAGTAAGCAGGGGGCTTGAAACCCCCTGAATCAGGAGGGTGAGAGGGAGTAAGCAGGGGGCCTGAAACCCCCTGAGTCAGGTGAGTGAGAGGGAGAAAGCAGGGGGCTTGAAACCCCCTGAATCAGGTGGGTGAGAGGGAGTAAGCAGGGGGCCTGAAACCCCCTTAGTCAGGTGAGTGAGAGGGAGTAAGCCGGGGGCTTGAAACCCCCTGAGTCAGGTGAGTGAGAGGGAGTAAGCAGGGGGCCTGAAACCCCCTGAGTCAGGTGGGTGAGAGGGAGTAAGCAGGGGGCCTGAAACCCCCTGAGTCAGGTGAGTGAGAGGGAGAAAGCAGGGGGCCTGAAACCCCCTGAGTCAGGTGAGTGAGAGGGAGAAAGCAGGGGGGCTAAAACCCCCTCAGTCAGGTGAGTGAGAGGGAGTAAGCAGGGGGCTTGAAACCCCCTGAGTCAGGTGGGTGAGAGGGAGTAAGCAGGGGGCCTGAAACCCCCTGAGTCAGGTGATTGAGAGGGAGAAAGTAGGGGGCTTGAAACCCCCTGAATCAGGTGGGTGAGAGGGAGTAAGCAGGGGGCCTGAAACCCCCTGAGTCAGGTGAGTGAGAGGGAGTAAGGCGGGGGTCTGAAACCCCCTGAGTCAGTTGAGTGAGAGGGAGTAAGCAGGGGGCTTGAAACCCCCTGAGTCAGGTGGGTGAGAGGGAGTAAGCAGGGGGCCTGAAACCCCCTGAGTCAGGTGCGTGAGAGGGAGAAAGCAGGGGGCTTGAAACCCCCTGAATCAGGTGGGTGAGAGGGAGTAAGCAGGGGGCCTGAAACCCCCTTAGTCAGGTGAGTGAAAGGGAGTAAGCCGGGGGCTTGAAACCCCCTGAATCAGGAGGGTGAGAGGGAGTAAGCAGGGGGCCTGAAACCCCCTGAGTCAGGTGAGTGAGAGGGAGTAAGCAGGGGGCCTGAAACCCCCTGAGTCAGGTGGGTGAGAGGGAGTAAGCAGGGGGCTTGAAACCCCCTGAGTCAGGTGAGTGAGAGGGAGAAAGCAAGGGGGCCTGAAACCCCCTCAGTCAGGTGAGTGAGAGGGAGTAAGCAGGGGGCTTGAAACCCCCTGAGTCAGGTGGGTGAGAGGGTGTAAGCCGGGGGTCTGAAACCCCCTGAGTCAGGTGAGTGAGAGGGAGTAAGCAGGGGGCTTGAAACCCCCCTAGTCAGGTGGGTGAGAGGGAGTAAGCAGGGGGCCTGAAACCCCCTGAGTCAGGTGGGTGAGAGGGAGAAAGCAGGGGGCTTGAAACCCCCTGAATCAGGTGGGTGAGAGGGAGTAAGCAGGGGGCCTGAAACCCCCTGAGTCAGGTGAGTGAGAGGGAGTAAGCAGGGGGCCTGAAACCCCCTGAGTCAGGTGGGTGAGAGGGAGTAAGCAGGGGGCTTGAAACCCCCTGAGTCAAGTGAGTGAGAGGGAGAAAGCAAGGGGGCCTGAAACCCCCTCAGTCAAGTGAGTGAGAGGGAGTAAGCAGGGGGCTTGAAACTCCCTGAGTCAGGTGGGTGAGAGGGTGTAAGCCGGGGGTCTGAAACCCCCTGAGTCAGGTGAGTGAGAGGGAGTAAGCAGGGGGCTTGAAACCCCCCTAGTCAGGTGGGTGAGAGGGAGTAAGCAGGGGGCCTGAAACCCCCTGAGTCAGGTGAGTGAGAGGGAGAAAGCAGGGGGCTTGAAACCCCCCTAGTCAGGTGGGTGAGAGGGAGTAAGCAGGAGGCCTGAAACCCCCTGAGTCATGTGAGTGAGAGGGAGGAAGCAGGGCCTGAGTCCCCTGGCTCTCCTGCCCAGGCTGCCAGAGGGAGTGCGCGAAATATGCGTCCCTCCCGCGCCAGTAGTTCGCCGGATATCCAGAACCCTCGGCAGTTTTCGCCACAGGAGCTGTCATCCAACGAATCCCTGTTCGCCGGGGTGGCGGGATGGGATATCGACCTGCTTTGCGACAGTCGCCAACCCCCAATTTCCTGCAGAATCCCCCCCAAACTTCGTCAGCTCTTCGCCCTCGCATTCCTGACACCTCTGCTACACATCGCACACAGGCCAACCAGCCTCGCGGGTTGGCGCCTGTTACTTTTCGTCCCTCGCCTAGCCCTCCGCCTGCACTCGCCCAAGCACCCTGATTGGGCCACGGTGGAAAAACGACTGCAGCAGTTCCTCGCGGGGGAATGGCAGCAGCTGTACCTGTCAGCAATCGATGCTGTGCATAACCTCCCCCCTCCTCGCCACGTGCCGGACACCATCGGCAGGCACAAGCGGGCAGAGGGGCTTGTCCGCCGTGGCAGTCTCCGACGTGCCCTGCTTGCACTAGACTCGACTCCGGTCAGCGATTCAACCCCCGACGTCCTCGAGGCACCGAAGTCCAAGCACCCCGCTCCGTTGACCGAGTCAATCGCTTGGCCCACCCTCGACGAGTCCGAGGCGGGCCCCACGGTTTCGCAGGAGGCGTTCATTCGTCTGCTGAGCCGCTGCGAAAACGGAGTGGGTGCAGGGCCTTCAGGAATGTGCTTCGAGCACATTCGCGAAGCCGCCCTCGCCAACAACTCAGTCGCTGCCAAATTGCATGAGCTCGCAGTACGCCTGCTCCACGGAGATTCCACAGCTGATATCGCCGCCCTCCTCACCGCTAGTCGACTAATCGCTTTCCCCAAGCCCGGAGGCGGTACCAGACCTATAGCCATAGGCGAGTGCTTGCACCGCCTCGTGGCGAAGGCGGGCCTCCTCACCATGACGGCGCAGGCACAAACTCATTTCCTCCCGCTGCAGTTCGGGGTGGCAGTACGCGCGGGTGGCGAGGCGATCGTCCACGCAGCCCGCGCATACACATCCGAATTTCCCTCCGCCCTGGTACTCCAGGTCGACGTGTCAAACGCTTTCAACAGCGTTGACAGAGCCGCGATCGTGGCAGGCCTCTTCAACTCGCCCCTTCGGCCGCTTCTCCCCTTCGTCAAACTCTCCTACGGAGCTCCGTCGCGACTATATCTAGACGCCGGATTCTGCAGCGACCCCCTCCTAAGTGCCCGGGGTGTTCGTCAAGGGGACCCCATGGGCCCCCTGCTTTTCTCTGCGGCTTTGCACCCGGCTCTCCAGGCGACAGCCTCGGCGTTTCCTAGCGTGCTCTGCCTCGCCTACGCCGACGACATCACACTGCTTGGAGAGCCGTCGGAATGCGCGTCGGCATTCACCCAACTCACAGAGGCCCTACGCCCCTTGGGCCTCACGCACAACCCTTCCAAATGCGCGGCGTGGTCAACTACCCAGCCCCCCAGCCCCATACTCCCCCCAGGCATCCCCTTCTGCACTGACGGCCTGCGCGTCCTCGGAAGCCACCTCGGCCCCACCGAAGCCACAGCCGCTTTCCTTCGGGAGCAGTTGGCCGACATGGCCAGACCGCTCCCCGACCTGGCGACCATGGACCCCCAGGCCGCGGGCCTTCTCCTCCACCGCTGCGTTTCAAGACGCGTCCTATCTCACCTGCACCACCCCCCTTGACTCGCTGCCGTCCGAGGAGTGGTCCAACAAGGGACAGAAGCTCTTCCATACCCTCCTCCTCTCGTGCAACCTTCAGCTCCCACGGGGTGAACAGGAGCGGACGCGCACATGGCACCAAGCCTCTTTGCCACCCTCCCTTGGCGGCCTCGGCCTCGTGGACCCCGCAGTAGAAGGCACGCACGCCTTCCTTACTAGCGTCGCACAGGCCCACCGGCTGCTCATATCCCTCCCATCAGATCCGACAGGCCCACTCGCTGCAGCGGCCTGCTCCTTGGCCCCTCCCTTCATCGGTCCCTCGCGTCTCCATACCTGGCTGGCGAATTGCGAATCGGCCCTCCCAGCTCCAGCCTTGGCGCTCCTGCAGGCCGAGCGGGCTGAGCCCTCGGACGATCCCCTCCAGCACCGACTGGCCCTGGAAGTGCACGCAGCCCGCTTCGCCCGACAATTGGCTGCGTCGCGGGAGATGGACCCCAACCCCCTCAGCGGCCATACCCAGCGGCTCCTCTCCCTCACTGGGTACGGCGCAGGCGACTGGCTCCTCGCCATCCCCCTATTCCCTTCTCTTCGGCTGGCGCCGCCTCACTATGCCATCGCCCTGGCATTCCGTCTGGGCCTCCCTTTCCCGGCACCCAGGGTCTGCAACTGCGCCCAACAGGTCGCGATCCCCGACCCCCGCCTACCAAACCACCTCCTCCGCTGTGGGACGGGACACGGTCGCACCGACACGCACAATGCCCTCCGTGATGAGTGCGTACGTATGGGGCGTGACGCACAGCTCATCGTCACGAAAGAAACGGCGATGTACAACCCTGTCGATGGCAAGACCGCCGACCTGGCCATACGCGACCGGGACTTGGGGGCGGTCTGGATCTGTGACGTCACCGTCACCGACCCAGTCAGCACCCGGGACCCGCTAGCGCGCAAAGGCCGCGGTTACATGGCCCGGGAGCAAGCGGACAAAAAGATCGACGACTACCGCCACCGGGCAGCATACGTCGGTTTCTTCCCACTCGCCGTCGAGACATATGGCTGCCCATGCGCCGAGGTGCCAACCTTCCTTAAACTCCTCGCACACACGGCCGCCCGCCGCCTTTTCAATGCTGACCCCAGCTCCTACCAGGCGGCTAAACTGCTCAGCCAGTTCCGCCAGCGCTGGTCTCACCCTCCAGCGGGGTCAAGCCCTCACCTACCTCGGGAAGGTGAATGAGGCTTCGCCACTTGAAGGGCCGCCCCTAGGTGCTCCTGAGGCGGGCATGTCCCTTGGGGACTGCTTCGCGGTCATTGAACACCCACGGGAGTAGCCGGGGACTACGATCTCGTCCGCGAATACCATGCATGCTTGTACCCACCTTATATGCCTTGCGTGTACCCAGGATCTTCCAGCAATGAAGGACCGTTAGAGTAAGCAGGGGGCCTGAAACCCCCTGAGTCAGGTGGGTGAGAGGGAGTAAGCAGGGGGCCTGAAACCCCCTGAGTCAGGTGAGTGAGAGGGAGAAAGCAGGGGGCCTGAAACCCCCTGAATCAGGTGGGTGAGAGGGAGTAAGCAGGGGGCCTGAAACCCCCTGAATCAGGTGGGTGAGAGGGAGTAAGCAGGGGGCTTGAAACCCCCTGAGTCAGGTGAGTGAGAGGGAGTAAGCAGGGGGCTTGAAACCCCCTGAGTCAGGTGGGTGAGAGGGAGTAAGCAGGGGGCCTGAAACCCCTTGAGTCAGGTGAGTGAGAGGGAGTAAGCAGGGGGCCTGAAACCCCCTGAGTCAGGTGAGTGAGAGGGAGTAAGCAGGGGTAGGCTTGAGCAGCGGGTCGGGTCGGGTCGGGTCAGATTTCCCGTGGGCAGAACCCGACCCGTCGGGTTTGATTTTTACCCGACGGGTCGTGTCAACCCGAACCCGACATGTCGGGTTGACCCGACCCGACCCGATCCGAACTCGGGTCGGGCCTTGAACCGACGCGATCTGCGCGATCAGAGTTGCTCAGATCTGGAAATTCCGATTATTTGGTCGAATTGTCGACCAAATGGGTCATGGCCCAGATCTTACTTAGGCTACCTCCCATTTCTACCCTGCATCCAGCTCATTCCTACCACTACTCTACTCCCTACCATGCTTATTAGTACAGCTTAGGGTCCAGGCAGATCCAGATCGATTTCGATTGGATCGACTCAATCAACACACCTATTCAACAAACAAGCTCGACACCCCCCAACCCATCCGAATTTCGCCAACACCCCCAACCCATCTGAATTTCGCCAACACCCCCAACCTATCCGAATTTCGCCAACACCCCCAATCCATCCGAATTTCGCCAACACCCCCAACCCATTCGAATTTCGCCAACACCCCCACCCAACCCATCCGAATTTCGCCTACACCCCCAACCCATCCGAATTTCGCCAACACCCCAACCCATCCGAATTTCGCCACCACCCCCAATCCATCAGAATTTCGCCAACACCCCCAACCCATCCGAATTTCACTAACACTCCCAACCCATCCGAATTTCGCCAGCACCCCCAACCCATCCGAATTTTTGCAAACACCTCCAACCCATCCGAATTTTCGCCAGCACCCTCAACCCACCCAATTTTCGCCAACACCCGCAACCTCAACCCACCCAAAATCTCGTCAACACCCCCAAACCAGCCAAAAATTCGCCAACCATTTTTTCGCCAACACTCCCAATCAATCCAACACCCATCCTGTGGCTGGTTTTCGCCAACATCCAACCCACATCTCGAGGTTGTGGATGGGAGGATGAGGTGGGTGTGTGGGCCAGACACGAGGAGGACATACTGGATCTCGAAATTACGAATCCCATATGTTTCCCTCAGGAAGAAATACTTAGGTCGGGTCAAGCCGGGTCGGGTTGGGTTGGATCGACCCGACCCGACCACGGGTAAGAGATAACCCGACCTGTTATGGTCGGGTCGGGTCGGCGAAATCCTAGGATCGACCGGACTTGACCCGACCCGACCCAACCCGAACCCGACAACGAGTAGGGCAAAGCCGAGTAGGGCAAAGCCGAGTCGGGTCGGGTCGGGTTTATGCTGAAGCCTAAGCAGGGGGCTTGAAACCCCCTGAGTCGGGTGAGTGAGAGGGAGTAAGCAGGGGGCCTGAAACCCAGAGTCAGGTCAGTGAGAGGGAGTAAGCAGGGGGCCGGAAACCCCCTGTGGAGGGTGAATGGGGGGGGCTGCAAGGACCACCGGGGTAAGAGGAGTGAGACAGAGAGGTGTCTGGGGGCCTGAAGCCCCCAGAGTGAGTTGGGGTGTTGCTGGAAGCTAGTTTGGGGGGCAACGGAGGACAGCTGCATCCACCACAATTGTAAGTTCAGTGAGAGGGAGAGGGAAAAGGGAGCCAGAAACCCCCGGGGTGAGATGGGGAGTTGTGTGGAGCTAGTTGGGGGGCGATGGAGGGCGGCTGAAAGCAACTACGACAAGTGTAAGTTGAGTGAGAGGGTGAGACAGGGCCTGACACCCCTGGGTGAGTTGAATGAAGTTGATTGAGGGGAAATGGAGGGCGGCTGCATCGACTACCATAGTTATTTGAGTTAGCGAGAGAGGGGCGAGCGAGTGGGCATGAAACCCCTTGGGTATGTTGAGAGAGGGTGACTGGAGCGGGGCTGATGCCCCCAGAGTACATTGAGTGAGAGGGATGGGAGAAGTGGGGCCTGCAACCCCCTGAGTGAGTTTAGTGAGGGTCAAAGGAGAGGCGGTGAAAAAACCATGGTAGGGTGAGAGCAAGGCAGGGGAGCGGGCCTGAAATCTGCTACTGAGGGGCAGGTGGGGAGAGGGGGGTTCAAATCCCCAGGTTAGGACGAGCTAGAGGCAGAGGGACCCCCCTCCTCTTAGACATGAGCAAAACCGGGTAATTACCCGAACCGACCCGGTTTTGCCCTACCCGCAATCGGGTCCGGGTCGGGTCGGGTCGGGTAATTTCCGGGTAATGTTTGGAGGTCTGTTACCCGACCCGACATTTTAATACCGGGTAATTGGGTACCCGTCTGTCGGGTCGGGTATACCCGACCCGCATTTAATTGAAGTCGGGTAATATTACCCGGGTACCCCTAGGTGGCTGTAAAATTCAGCAAACCCAGAGTAGCAAACCCAAAGTCGGGTCGGGTACCCGCGACCCGACGGGTAAAATGCTCAAGTCTACCTCCTCTGCCTTTGGTTCGCCTTATCCTGGGGTTTTCAACCCCTTTCTCTTGCCGCTTGGTTTCCTTACCTTGGATTTTCAGCCTCCCTCCCGTGCTTTGCCCTTATGTTACCCTTGGATCTTTCACCCCTCTCCTCTGCCACTCTCTCTCTATATCCTCTAGTGAGCTCAAGTCCCCTGGGTGGTGTGAGTTCTGATGGGGGCTCTGCAACCCCCAGGCCCAGGGTGTGTGTGATTTAGGGGAAGAGAAGGAGGCTGAAACCCCTTGGATGGATGAGTGGATGGGAAGGGGTCTGAAGCCCCATGGGTGTGTGAGTGGAAGCGAAGGGGGCTGAAACCCCTTGGGTGTGTACGTGGAAGGGAAGGGTTGGGCCGACAGCTCCACACCTCCAGGCGGCAAATGATGATGCCCCACTCGTTGCCTGATGCAAGCTCTATCATGTGGGTTGTTAGTTTAACGAATTCCAAGGTGAGGCAGGGAAAGGATTTCAAACCCCAAATTGAAAGATGAGGGAGACAAGGGACCCTGAGTAACAAGGCGAGGCAAGGGAGAGGGTTTCTTCAGATCCCAAGTTCAAGGGTGATGAAAGGGGGGGGGTTCAGAACCCAAATTTTAGTGTGAGGTAAGGGAGGGGGTTTCAGACCCCAAGGTAGAGGGCGAGGCAAGCAAGAAGCTGGCTTTTGAGTCGACTCAAAAGGCAGGCAAGGGGGTTTCACAACCCAACTTACAGTGCAAGAGGGTTTCCAGTCCGACAATGACACAGGGCAGGGGGCAGCGTTTCAGGGTCCCCACCCCAAGTTAGAGGGTGAGGCAAGGGAGCAGGGTTTCAGGCCCCAAATTACAGTGCAAGGTAAGGGAGGGGTTTCAGACCCCAAGTTCGAGGGTGAGACAGGGAATGAGGTTTCAAACCCTAAGCTACAGTGTGAGGTCACATCAGACCGCGACTGTAAGGTGAGTGGGAAGGGTGGGTTGAGGATTACCTTCATGCCTTCACACCTCCACACCTCCACACCTCCACACCTCCACACCTCCACACCTCCACACCTCCATACCTCCATACCTCCACACCTCCATACCTCCACACCTCCACACCTCCATACCTCCACACCTCCATACCTCCACACCTCCATGCCTCCATACATCCACACATCCACACCTCTACACCTCCATACCTCCACACCTCCATACCTCCACACCTCCAAACCTCCATACATCCACACCTCTACACCTCCAAACCTCCACACCTCCACACCTCCACACCTCCATACCTCCACACCTCCATACCTCCACACCTTCAACCCTCCATACCTCCACACCTCCAGACCTCCACACCTCCATACCTCCACACCTCCAAGCCTCCGTGCCTCCGCGCCTCCGTACCTCCACACCTCCATACCTCCACACCTCTACACCTCCACACCTCTACACCTGCATACCTCCAAACCTCCACACCTCCATGCCTCCACACTTCCATACCTCCACACCTCCAAACCTCCACACCTCCATACTTCCAAACCTCTACACCTCCACACCTTCACCCGTCCATACCTCCACATCTCCATACCTCCACACCCTCCATACCTCCATACCTCCACACATCCATACCTCCACACCTCCGTACCTCCACACCTCTACACCTCCACACCTCTACACTCCTCCACACCTCCGTACCTCCACACCTCTACACCTCCAAACTTCCATACCTCCACACCTCCATGCCTCCACACTTCCATACCTCCACACCTCCAAACCTCCAAACCTCCATCCTTCCAAACCTCCACACCTCGACACATCCATACCTCCACACCTCCACATCTCCATACCTCCATACCTCCACACCTCCATACCTCCACACCCCATACCTCCACACCTCTATACCTCCATACCTCCTCACCTCCATACCTCCCCACTTCCATACCTCCACACCTCTGTTCCTGAGGTGAGGGAGAGTGAGGCGAGGGGCAGTTAAAAATGAGGTGAAGGGGGGGGTGAAGTTGAGGTGAGGGGTTGGGGTTACAATGAAGGTTGAGTGTGGGGGTGGGGGCCAGGGTGAAGGTTGAGTGTGGGGGTGGGGGTCAGGGTGAAGGTTGAGTGTAGGGGTGGGGGTCAGGGTGAAAGTTGAGTGTGGGGGTGGGGGTAAAGGTGGGAGTGGGTGTGGGTGGTATGGGAAGGCTGGGAAGGTTGTTTAGGTCTCATCCAGCTGGAGAAGATGCGTCAGGAGGAGTGGGCAGCATGCAGGTGAGGTGTTGTTCAGAATCATAGTCCATGTCAATGAAGAAACTAGCTTCGAGGAGAAAAAAGTGAATTGAGTAGGGAGCCAAAAGGCTCTATTGTACAAACAAGGAGCAAGGAAGAGTTGGAAGGAAGCTCTCCTATTGGCCTAATAAGTGGACCAATGGGAGCGGTTGCTTGGAGGGGAAGCAACCACAAAGTGTGGTGCTCTCCGATTGTCCACAATGTGGACGAATGGGAGAAGTTGCTTGGAAGGCAAGCAACCATTAAGTGTGGTGCTTGGTGATTGGTTGATTCTTAAGACCATTTGGGTGGAATAGTGCCAATCAAATGTCTAGGACCAAATCCAATCTTGACCAACCCAAATGTGAGTTGGTTAACCCAACCAACAATCCCCCAATAAAAATAATTACTATACCTCCTAATCTAGGCATGCATATATATATATATATATATATATATAAATATATATATTTTTTACAACTGTCAAAACCTTTCCACATTGCTGTATTTAACTCTATCCCCTTGTTTCCTCCTGGGTCCTGCAGCTGACTGGCGTGGGAAAGGGGGCCGGATTTCCTCCTGGGATCACGGAAAGCCCAAAAAAAAAAAAAAAAAACTTGTTTCCTCCTGTCTGTTACCTCAGGAGTTGCAGCAAGAAATGAGCGGAGCGGTTGGGGGGGGAAGAGGAGCAGGGGCATGCTGTTGCAAGGTAGGAAGAGGAGCTCCTTAAGAATCTGGCGGAATCTCGACGCGCAAAGGAGGATGACGTAAGAATCTGTTGTTTAGGGTCCTTCTAGCTGCAAGCCATGGCGGGATAAAAACTGTTTACCCTTGCGTGCAACCTCTTTTTCTCAATCCTTACCTTCCTGCCAAATCAATGCTATGGAGTTGGCCCCATCAACAAAAATCCTGCACAGCAGTACAGTGTGCTCAATCGTAATGGGTTTCATTACCTTTCCTTTTCCTCCTCCCCTCTCTCAACCCTCTCAATGCTAATCTAGTGCCGCCCACAACATGTGCTCGCATGCGTAACAGGTTGGCTGCTTGCACGTTTTTGGTGTTAAATGCCGTGGGGGGGTTGGTTGTATGCCGACGTGGCTTAGTTGCTTGGTAAGGGATGCTGGTTGTTTAGTAAGGGGTGTTGGTGGCATGATGTTGAGGGCTGATCGCATGTGTAGGAGGTTAGGGGCTTGCACAGGGGGGCTTGTTGCATGCATAAGAGGATTGTCTGCATGCTACAGGGGGGTGGTTGCATGAGTAGGGGGGGTGGTTGCATGACTAGGGGGGGTGGTTGCATGAGTAGGGGGGCTGGTTGCATGAGAAGGGGGGCTGGTTGCATGAGTAGGGGGGGTGGTTGCATGAATAGGGGGGCTGGTTGCATGAGTAGGGGGGTTAGTTGCATGAGTAGGGGGGTTGATTGCATGAGTAGGGGGGTTGGTTGCATGAGTAGGGCGAGTGGTTGCATGAATAGGGGTTTGGTGTCTAGGGGGGCTGGTTGCATGCTAGGGGGTTGGTTGCATGCTAGGGGGGGGTGGTTGCTTTTGCATGAGTAAGGGGGTTGGTTGCATGTGCGTTTGGTTTGTTGCATGCCTAGGAGGATTGGCTGTATGCTTAAGGCCTGTATGGGGATTGGTTGTATGTCCATGGGTGTTAGTTGCGTGCCAAGGGGGGTTTGGGTCCAGTTTGGTTGTCTTGTGTCGTTGCTTGAGCAGGAGAAGCAAGCGCTGGAGCTGCAGGTAGTTGGGAGCAAGCAGGGAGAGCCACAAGCCAACGCAGCTACAAACGCCAAGGACCAACTGATTCAGAATCTGCGTGATTCGGAATGCGCCAGAGAACAACAGGTGAGGAAAGGATCTTGTGTGCTGAATCTTTTTTCCTCTAGTTACTTGCCCTCTGTCCTTTCCTAGCCAACCTTAACCAACTTGCTAGAGCTAAGCAATGCAGCAATTGCACAAGGTTGCAGAGGAGCACACACTGTGGGCTCAACCACCACTTCACCTTATCTTCTTTCCTCCGTGCCCCCTATCGCCCCAACCCAACCTCTCTGCTCCTACCGCTCTCACTCACCTTTGCGTGCATTCTTTCGTTCCTTACAGTTTCATGCAGACATCAGCACACTGAGATCTGAGTTGCCAGCGGCCAAGTGGCAATTGGAGGAGAGTCGCGTGGTAGAGGCGCAATTGAGTGACAAGAAGGCACAGTCGGATTACAAAAGGTTAAAAGAGGTCAGTGGCTTGGTTAGAGCGCGTGAACGGGTACGATGCAATGGCAGGGGAAGTGGTGAAAGATTTATTTCACTCAGTGGTGATTTGAGACTATCTTTTTACAGTGTTGTCGCTTGGTGTTCCATTGCATTATTTTTTACAGGAAATGGAGGCACGCCTGCTGGAAAGCAGCAGCGGGTTGAGGAGCTCGAGACGGCGCAGACGAAACTGAAAGAGTCATACCAGAAGGAGATTTACGAGCGCAAGAAGTTACACAACCTGCTGCAATATCAAAGGGTAACGATTATCATTACGACAGGATGACAACACAAATAAGGTGGTGTTTGTGTTGTCATCGTGGCTTAACGATCAGCGCTACCCTCTGACCATGCAGCCGGTTGTATAATTCTTGCACTCGTAAATCTCCTTCTGGTATGACTCTTTGAGTTTTGACTCGGATTTGATGTAAATCAGGTCACCATCATGTTGCAAACAGGATCACTAACCTTGCCAAGCTTACAGATCTTGATCACTGACTTGGTAGCGCCTTTTTCAAGATCTAGCAGCAGATCCTCCGGCTCTTCCAAGTACACCTGCAGCATGTACACCTGCAGTTCAGGGCTATGGAGGAAGTGAGAGATGGGGAGAAGAGGGGGGACGAGTTGAGAGAGAGAGCGAGGGTGAGAAAGCCCCCCCACAGCCTGCTGCCTACCCTCTCTGCCTGTACCCCCCCTCTTTGTCCTCTCTCCCTCTGTCCTCTCTCCCCACTTTACCCTCTCTCCACTCGCTCCCTTGCCCTCTCTGCCCTCGCCTCCCACTCTACCCTCCCCAATCGCCGTGAAAGCGCACCTTCAGTACGAAGGTCTTGCCCTTGAGGAGGGTGAAGAGCTCCTCCATGACGCGGGGCAGGAGGCCCGCACCGTTGGGACCTCCAAGGATGGTCGTTCTCTTCCCACTTCTCAACTGCCCACAATCAAAGATACACACATTGTACCCGTCTATGGCCGACGGAATCAGGTTCCTTCGGGAGAAAGAGAGCAGGAGGGAAAGGAGGAAAAGCAGAAAATGTTGGGAGTGTCATGATGAGCACACATTGTCTTTGTCAAAATGATAGGTTCATACGCCACGTACAACAAACAAGAGAACCAAGGGGTGTTAAACTTGGAGTTCTCTACAAATTTACAAGAGAAAAGTGTTGCTGAAATATCTTAACGTCACGTCTTGGAAAACTATTTGTTGCGCAACCCCTGTGCCTCAGACTTCTCCAGGAATTCCGACATTGCCAGGTCCACAAAGCTCAGCTGGAGGACGGCGGGTTGAATGAGGCATGGGAGCGGGTCAGGGGCCAGGTTAGGGAGTTTGGGAAGTGAACGGAAAGGGGGTTGTGAGGGCTCAAATAATATAATGCAGCAGGCTGTATCTCCCTATACACAGGGATAACTATTTACAGTCTTGCCGCTCCCTCACCGCCCTTCTCCCCTCCTTTCCTTTGTACAGCCCAAGCAAAACACAGACACGACACATACCTTCCCCACACACGGGTTTCTAGTGCGCTCGTCGACGGTCTCTATGATCATAAAGATATGATCAAATGAGAGAGGAGGCTGTCAAGATCAACAATTCTCTGCTCACGCTCGGATGCGTCATCAAGAGCCTCACAACGCAGGGAGCGGTCCCAGCTTACAGAGACAGCAAGCTCACTCTCCTCGTGGAGGACTCGTTGAGGGCGGGGGCAAAGACCCTCATGTTTCTAAACATCTCCCCGAACGCCAGCAGCGTGGAAGAAACTCTCAACTCGCTAAGGTGAGAACTTGAGGGTCTAAGTGAGCTCTGAAAAGGTGGGAGCGTGGGAGTAGTTTTCTTGCTGCACTCATGTTTATCAGTCACATATTTCACTCTTTCAATCTTTCTCTCCCTCCACTCCTCCCCCCTTCCCACCTTTCCCATTTCCCCCTTCAGTCACCCTTTCCTCCCATTACTTCTCGTACTCCCACTCCCTCATCCCCCCTGCCCAAAACGCTCCCTCCTCTCCTCTCCACACCTCTACACCTCCATTCACCCACACCTCCATACCTCCACACCTCCATACCTCCATACCTCCACACCTCCACACCTCCACACCTCCCTACCTCCCTACCTCCACACCTCCACACCTCCATACCTCCACACCTCCATAACTCCATACCTCCACACCTCCACACATCTACACCTCCACATCTTCAAACCTCCACAACTCCATACCTCCAAACCTCAACACCTCCAGACCTCCACACCTCCATACACCCATACCTCCACATCTCCACACCTCCATACCTTCACACCTCCATACCTCCACACCTCCACATCTCCACACCTCCAAACCTCCACACTTCCATACCTCCATACCTCCACACCTTCACACCTCCCAACCTCCATACCTCCACACCTTCATACCTCCACACCTCCATACCTCCATTCCTCCAAACCTCACCACACCTCCACACCTCCATGCCTCCATACATCCACACCTCCACACCTCCACACCTCCATACATCCACACCTCCATACCTCCACACCTCCGCACCTTCACACCTCCACACCTCCATACCTCCACACCTCCACACCTCCACACTTCAATACCTCCACACCTCCACACCTCCACACCTCCATACCTCCATACCTCCACACCTCCATACCTCCACACCTCCATACCTCCACACCTCCACACCTCCACATCTCCACACCTCCAAACCTCCACAATTCCATACCTCCATACCTCCACACCTTCACACCTCCCAACCTCCATACCTCCACACCTTCATACCTCCACACCTCCATACCTCCACACCTCCATTCCTCCAAACCTCTCCACACCTCCACACCTCCATGCCTCCATACATCCACACCTCCACACCTCCACACCTCCATACCTCCACACCTCCATACCTCCACACCTCCACACCTCCATACCTCCACACCTCCACACCTCCACACCTCCATACCTCCACACCTCCAAACCTCCATATATCCACACCTCCACACCTCCATACCTCCACACCTCCACACCTCCATGCCTCCATACATCCACACATCCACACCTCCACACCTCCATACCTCCACACCTCCACACGTCCATACCTCCACACCTCCAAACCTCCACACCTCCACACCTCCACACCTCCATACCTCCACCCCTCCACACCTCCACACCTCCACATCTCCACACCTCAAAACCTCCACACTTCCATACCTCCATACCTCCACACCTCCCAACCTCCATACCTCCACACCTTCATACCTCCACACCTCCATACCTCCACACCTCCATGCCTCCATACATCCACACATCCACACCTCTACACCTCCATACCTCCACACCTCCATACCTCCACACCTCCAAACCTCCATACATCCACACCTCTACACCTCCAAACCTCCACACCTCCACACCTCCACACCTCCATACCTCCACACCTCCACACCTCCACACCTCCACATCTCCACACCTCCAAACCTCCACACTTCCATACCTCCATACCTCCACACCTCTAAACCTCCATACCTCCACACCTTCATACCTCCACACCTCCATACCTCCACACCTCCATTCCTCCAAACCTCTCCACACCTCCACACCTCCATCCCTCCATACATCCACACCTCCACACCTCCATACCTCCACACCTCCATACCTCCACACCTCCAAACCTCCATACATCCACACCTCCACACCTCCATACCTCCACACCTCCACACCTCCATGCCTCCATACATCCACACATCCACACCTCCAAACCTCCATACCTCCACACCTCCACACGTCCATACCTCCACACCTCCAAACCTCCATATATCCACACCTCCACACCTCCATACCTCCACACCTCCACACCTCCATGCCTCCATACATCCACACATCCACACCTCCACACCTCCATACCTCCACACCTCCACACGTCCATACCTCCACACCTCCAAACCTCCACACCTCCACACCTCCACACCTCCATACCTCCACCCCTCCACACCTCCACACCTCCACATCTCCACACCTCAAAACCTCCACACTTCCATACCTCCATACCTCCACACCTCCCAACCTCCATACCTCCACACCTTCATACCTCCACACCTCCATACCTCCACACCTCCATGCCTCCATACATCCACACATCCACACCTCTACACCTCCATACCTCCACACCTCCATACCTCCACACCTCCAAACCTCCATACATCCACACCTCTACACCTCCAAACCTCCACACCTCCACACCTCCACACCTCCATACCTCCACACCTCCACACCTCCACACCTCCACATCTCCACACCTCCAAACCTCCACACTTCCATACCTCCATACCTCCACACCTCTAAACCTCCATACCTCCACACCTTCATACCTCCACACCTCCATACCTCCACACCTCCATTCCTCCAAACCTCTCCACACCTCCACACCTCCATCCCTCCATACATCCACACCTCCACACCTCCATACCTCCACACCTCCATACCTCCACACCTCCAAACCTCCATACATCCACACCTCCACACCTCCATACCTCCACACCTCCACACCTCCATGCCTCCATACATCCACACATCCACACCTCCAAACCTCCATACCTCCACACCTCCACACGTCCATACCTCCACACTTCCAAACCTCCACACCTCCACACCTCCACACCTCCATACCTCCACACCTCCACACCTCCACATCTCCACACCTCCAAACCTCCACACTTCCATACCTCCGTACCTCCACACCTCCCAACCTCCATACCTCCACACCTTCATACCTCCACACCTCCATACCTCCACACCTCCATTCCTCCAAACCTCTCCACACCTCCACACCTCCATGCCTCCATACATCCACACCTCCACACCTCCACACCTCCATGCCTCCATACCTCCACACCTCCACACCTCCATACCTCCACACCTCCACACCTCCACACCTCCACACCTCCACATCTCCACACCTCCATACCTCCATACCTCCAAACCTCCACACCTCCACACCTTCATACCTCCACACCTACATACATCCACACCTCCACACCTCCATACCTCCACATCTCCATACCTCCAAACCTCCATACCTCCACACATCCATACCTCCGTACCTCCATGCCTCCGTACCTCAATACCTCCACACCTCCACACCTCCATAGCCTGTTTAACATGGTACCAGAGCAGGCCCTTCCGCTCGGGCCTTCTCCTCACGCTTCCGCCTCGTACTTTCCTCCCTCCTGTCTCTTCCGCGCCGCCGTGGCAGCCATGTCGTGCTTCCATGGCTGCTTCGTCGTGCTGCCGAGGCAGGCTCGACGCGCTGCCGTGGCGTCGACGCCACAGCGTGGCGTCGTCGACGTGCTGCCGTGGCAACGTCGACATGCTTCCGTGGCATCGACGCGACGCCGTGGCGGCGTCGACGCGCCAGCGCACGAGTGACAGTGGGCCGCACACCGCTTTAGGCGCCAGCCAGCTCGCTCGCACGCCAGCCAGCGCCGCGCCAGCCATGGCGTCTCGCTGCAGATTCGCCCACCGCCTCCCCTGCATCTCCCCTTTTTCCAGCAGCAGCTGATGCCTTCATACCCGATCGTTGCCGAGTCGTGCCACGCCGCCGGGTGCTGCGAGCTACGCAGTCGCCATCATCGTCGTTGAAGCCGCCGCTGCCATCGCCGCCGCCGCTGTCGTCGTCGTACCGCCGCTGATGCCGTTGCTGCCACCCGCCGAGGGTGTCACCGCTTCGCGCGAGGGGTAGAAGCCCCACTTGCTGCAGGACATGGGGGTGCATGGGCTTGGGGGTGTTGCGTATTGGATGGGCTTGGCACTACCAAGCCTAAGGGGTGTGTCAAATTATATATTTCTATATATATTTGTGAACGCTTGGTAGGTGTGCTACTTTGCTGCATCCTACTGTAGTGGGGACAACCCCTCCCCTTCTTGTATCTCCTTCTCTTTCCTAGTGACACCCTTTTTCTCTCGCCAACTTCTCTCCTATCTCGCTTCCTAGTGTTAGAATAGAAGAATGATTAGAAACAAGAGAGAACAAGGGAGATATAGGGTTGGAGTCGTACCCTCTAAGAACACAAACCTCTCTAGCCTATAACTTCTACATACAAATATATGCATAAGTTGATACACCCCCTAGGCTAGATACGGGGTAGTGCAAAGCAGGGAACACGCAGCTCAGGGTGGCACTACTAGTCCAACCTCTGAGGCAGGGGCCCGAAGACTAGTCAGCAAGAGAACAAACAAGACGAGAGCAAACCAGGGCTGCACTATTAGTCCGGCCACTAGAAGAGAAGCCACAAGGCCAGTCATAAATGTATATATATAGAGGAGTACACAATCAAGGTCCTAGCAAGTGAGAGTCTACAGGAACTAGACCACGCTGCAAACAGTGTCGCTGATAATCTTTAGGCGCAAGCGCCGTAGTAAAGATATCAGCTGTATTGGCACCGAAGGCCAAGTGTACTACGCGGGCCTGACAACGCGGCTGTAGCTCGCGCAGGAGGAAGTACCGCAGCTGGATGTGCTTCGCTCTGCCCTCAAGTCGAGGCTCCTAACACAGCAGGATCATGGCCCTGTTGTTAGCGTACAGGACCGAGGCAGAGCTAGGCCGCTCACCTATGTCAGTGAGCAAGAAGGTCAACCAGCGGAGCTCCTGTGCCGCCATGGCACCGGCGTAGATGTCAGCCTCACAGTTAGACTGGGCAACAGACGAGGAGCGAGTGGACCTCCACGAGATGGCACCCGAACCAAGGCTAAAGAAGTAGCCCTGGGAGGACCTGAGGGTCTCAGCGTCGTCCACCCGAGAAGCGTCTGTGTGCCCAGTGAGGACCACTGGCTTGCGTACTCCTAACACTAACCCCATGCCCGATGTACTTTCTAGATAACGCAAAACCCTCTTAGCGGCCGACCAGTGCTGTGGTCGGTGTCTGCCTGTGGCCACAAAGCGAGCCAGGATGTTGAGAGGGTATGCGAGATCTGGACGAGTGCACGTTATCAAGTACATGAGGCAACCCACCAGCTCTGAGTAAAGGCCACTGGGCTCTACCGACTCCTCAGGAACTGGAGCTGAGAGCATGTGGTCTACTGGTAGAGGTGTGGGCTGTGCGGAGGAGAACTGAAGACCGAACCACTGAAGGACCTGGCGCACCAAGCGTGACTGTGTGAGAATGATGGCGCGCATTGCTCTGTCCCGGGAGATCTGCAGGCCAAGGTAGCGGCGCAGCTCTCCTAGGTCAGTGCAGGTGTGTCTCCTCAGCAGCTCGGCCTTCACAGAGGCGAGTGCGTCTGTGTCTGCAATAGCGAAGACCCGGTCGTCTACGTAGACAAGGATGTAGAACGGAGTCTGGCCAGCACGAACGAAGAGCGAGGGGTCTGCAGAGGACGGAAAGAACTGCAGGTCAGCTAGCGTAGCACGCAACGTGTCGTGCCACTCACAAGCCGCCTGTCACAGATCGTAGACCGGGTGCCGGAGGAGCCACTGGGTCCCAGGATGGAAGGTACCAGTGAAGCCCTGTGGACGGCACAGGTAGACCTGCTCGTGTAGGCCGCTCGGAAGAAAAGCAGTGGAGAAGTCGAGGGAGTGGAGCTCGTAGTCATGCTGTGCTGCTACGTCTAGCAGCACTCGAAGAGTAATCTTTGGGGTCGGGGCGAAAGTCAACACCCTCGCGCTTACTGAAGCCTCTAGCCATGTGGCGCACCTTGAACACAGGCGACTCTCCAGGAGGGCGCTTCACCTTGAAGAGCCACCAAGCATCGACTACGTTCACCCCAGGCGGGGGAATTGCGTCGATGTAGGTGCCGGTGGACCTCCAAGATGCCATCTCCTGCTCCATGGCAGCTATCCACTGAGAGGCCTAGGGTCCCGAGATCGCCTCAGCATAGGTGCAAGGGTTCGGGATGTCAAAGGCGTCTGGGTCACCCTCAGGGACTAGCAGTATGGAGCAGAGATGGGGAGCAGCCTCGGACAAGAAAGCAAGCTCGCACTGCTTGTCCTCTAGGACGTCACTGCCAAGGGCAGGAGCACCCCTGATGGACAGAGGACGGACAGGGTCAGAGACTAGAGCGGTGGCGTAGTCAAGGCGGCGGTTAGAGGCAAAGTCAGCGACAAAGGCGACAAGATCGTCAAGACTAGAGTGAGAAACAGACGGGTCGGTAACGAGGGAGTCAAGGACGCGAGGAACAAGAGGACGAGTGGCACGAAGGTTGTCAGACAGAGGGGGAGGTGCGACAACGAGCAACGAGGGAGGAGGCGAAGGTAGGAGGGGAGGACGAGACACGTGGGAACAAAGCAACATAGGGTGGGAACGCTGGACAGGAGAGACAGGACGAGCACGAGATGGACGGCGAGACCAGACATGAGACAGAGGCGTCGGGTCAGGAGACAGGAGGAGTAACAGGAGGGGAACGAGGTGGGAAACAAGCCGGGGATGAGTCCGGCGGAGAAAAGATAGGGCCGTAGATAGGAAGGGGAGGAGGCGGCGGGGGAGGCGCAGGCGAGCGGTCAGGGGAGGGAAGGTCGAGCAGGCGAAGGGCGGACACCAGCAGCAATTGCTGCTGCTGCTGCTCGACGCCGACACCTCGACCGCCAGCTGCACCACGGCCACCTCCGGAACACTCCACTCCAGCACCCCCAGAACGAGCACCTCCAGAGCGAGAACCCTCTCCAGTGCCGGTGCCACCCCCAGGCCCGCCGGGACAAGCCACGACAGGAACCCCCGGACTAGCCCCCTCCTCAACGCCAGCACCCCCATAGTCCACGGACGGCTGCTACTGCGGCGGCGGCGGCTGCGACGACGGCTGCTGCGACGCGTCACTAGGGAACCCGGTCCAAAGAACGGTCGGCAAAACCTGCGGCCGCTGGGAGCGCGGCCACAGGTTAAGCTGGTGAGCAGCGTAGCGTACGGCGAATGGCCACAGAAAATGGGGTGTACGGGCATGGATCATGGAGGTAGGAGCCACCTCCATGACCGAACCAATGCGTCACTCAGCAACCCCATTCTGCTGCGGGGAGTCCGGTAGGGTGTACGACTGGGTTATGCCCTCCGCACGACAGAAGCAACCAAGCCTACCAGAGGCAAACTCGCCGCCACGGTCGAAGTGGAGACACAGCACAGGGAGACAGCGGTTGAGACACGCAGCTACAACCCACAGGATAAGAACGTTAGGCCCGTCGGCCTTCCGATCCAGGGGAAACACCGTGGTGTAGCGCGTGTAGTCGTCGATGAGCACGAGAAAGCTCAGCTGGAGGATGGCGCTCGCGACGTGGCCCGGGGACGGGGGCTAGGCCCAAGACGTCCAGGTGCAGGGTCTAGAGGGGTGCGGTGGCAAGGCGAAGCGAGAAGGAGTGAGGAGCATGGCGCAGCCAGCCCTCGACGCAGGGCGTGCACGGCGGCGCAGGCGAGGGAGGGAAGGCATGTAGCAACGCAGGGAGACCTAGGACGAGACCGTGCTGAGACATATGACGCAGATGGGGGAGTGCGTGGTGACCTAGGCGGTGGTGCCACAGAAGCAACGGGTGAGTGAGCGACCGACACGAGCAAGCCGCGGTGACCTGGGTAGACGCAGGGCCCAGGGAGGATGCTCCAACCGGGGGGGAACCAGTGTCCAGCGTACAGAGGCCAGACACCGGGTCCCAGGGGAACGTTGCAAGGGGGGAACCTGAGGCGGCTTCGGTACAGACAGCGTACCGCTCGTGACCTGGGAACGTAGTGGTGATTCCGAGGTCCTGAAGACAGCCGACACCAACTAAGTTTCTGTAGAACGAAGGGATGTGCAGGCCTGTAAGGGAACCCGAGGGAACCGCTGGACAGGGCAAGGTAGTGTAGCTGCGAGCAACGACACGACCAGAAGAGGGGTCAGCCAGTGCGACAGCGGCAGGCGCGGCAAGTGGCGTGGGTGTGGCATGGTTGCGGTAGAAGCAGGCAAGCGCACCGGAGTCAAGTGTGAAAGACAGCGAAGCAGTAGCGGCAAATGAAGGAGGAGAGAGTGTAGAGCCTAGGCTAGTCAAAGCAAATGGTCTTACGCCTGACGCAACAGGGGAGTCTGTACTACACACAGGTGCTACGCCTAAGCTAGAGAATACAGGGTAATAAGATCCGGACACACTGAAAGCGTCAGCATACAGAGAATGCAGGGCAAAACTAATATGGTCCATGTTTAACTCAAAAATGGGCACACCGTGGCGCAGTTGACTAGGCCAGTCAGGGAGGCCTGGGGCGGGGCCGAAGCGGTGACGGAAGAGGTCGTCGAGGCGGCGAAAGCAGCGAGCGGTCGAGTGCGGGCGGTGGCACACAGTGCCACGGAGAGGCCCGGTCTGGAGCTGGTACTGGCAGCTCACAGCACCGAAGCCGCCGGTAGATGCCGAGCTGCGAGGGCAGCCACCACGGCCACCATCTCCAGGGGCTCCTGGCCACCCCGGCGCCAGGCGGGCCCACGGCTGCTGCTGCTGCTGTGGCTGCTGGTGCTGCTCCGGCGGCTGCTACTGCAGCTGCTGCTGTGTTTGCTGCAGCTGATGTTGCTCCTAAACACCAGCCCCAACCCCCTCGTCAGAACCACTGTCCCACCACCACTACCACCACGCCCTCCCTTGGGGCCGCGATGGCCCCGACGCTGTCGGTGCTGCGGGAAGGCCGCAGCTACGGTCTCAGTGGCAGGGGCAGCTGTAGCAAATGCGGAGGAAATGTCAGCGTACGTGCACTGGGAGGGAGCACAGCCCTGAAAGATAGGGACTGCTGCAACACCGCTCGACTGGGCGATATTGCGCTGGCGAGTCTCTATCTCAGACTGGGCGGTGACAAAGGCTGTCAGGGTGAGGTCACTAGGGTGCTAGCTAAGG